CATGATATCAAATGGTTGATTATGAATTGAGATTCAATTTATTTGGATGTTCGATGCTTTAGATATGCTTACTCAGCTTCACCGCTGAGCGTGTAGTGTGTTTTATTTGCTACACGCAGGTAGGTAGAATGAATGATTGGCTGATTCCCGGCAGCAGAAGGGGCGAGACAGTCGTGGTGGATCATTGAACAAAATAAATAATTATGTTGTTATGAAACATGTTTAAAAGTCGCTTCCGCATTATTATTAAACACTCCGCATTTTCTACAATTATGTATGGAATATTATTTATAAATAAAAATGTTTGAAATGTTTTAAATTATCACGATTACCAAATCAATACTTTAGTCCGAAAGGGGCTGCAGACCTGGACGGATTAGGGTGTTACAGTAACAATCACGAGCTGAGCACCCGGAGTCCCCCACTCCTTAAGCCGAAGAAGAATTCCAAGGTGAAGGGTAGTAGTGTCCATGCTCGGCTCCGGTGGGAGTCTCTGGCCCCTTAAGATGGTCGAGGCTGAGCTTGAGCGGCTGGGCCGAGCTTAAGTGGCTGCGACCGAGCTTGAGTGGATGAGGCCGAGCTTGAGTGGATGAGGCCGAGCTTGAGTGGCTGCGACCGAGCTTGAGTGGATGAGGCCGAGCTTGAGTGGATGAGGCCGAGCTTGAGTGGCTGCGACCGAGCTTGAGTGGATGAGGCCGAGCTTGAGCAGATGAGGCCGAGCTTGAGTGGCTGCGACCGAGCTTGAGTGGTTGAGGCCGAGCCTGAGTGGCTGAGGCCGAGCTTAAGTGCCTCACAAGGTGGGGCATGGGTGCCTCATGAGGTGGCCGATGCCGATCTCAGCCTTCTCATCCTTCTAACCTGCAAAATAAGTTCAAAAAAGAATACAAGGCGCTCGCGGGCTCGGGCAGACCGGTCACCACGCGGCCGAGAAAAGTAAATCAACGTATGAGTTGAGTCCAAAGTTTTGGACAAAAGATAGGCCTAATCAGCGAATTGTGCCGATCGTGTAGTAGTCTGGTCTAGAACAAACCTTGACGTCATCCTTAGTGAGACCGGGGTCTTCAAATGAGAGCTGCTAGGGTAAGTGAGATAGGCACAAATGATGCACCCCCTCGCCTTAGATCCGAGAGCAAATAGTTCACGTCGTGGAAGACGGATATATAGGAGTGCGTCGAGATGGACGGCTTACCTCGGCCTCGCGAATAGTATCGTCGCGGACGATTTGGAGTGTCTCGTGGAGAGGGCTTACCTCGGCCTCGTGGAAGAGGAAATAAAATCACACCGTGAGAGACGGATGGGAGTGCATCGCAGCGGACGTCTTACCTCGGCCTCGTGGAAGAGGAAATGAGATCGCATCGTGGAAGACGGATAGGAGTGCGTCGAGATGGACAGCTTACCTCGGTCTCGCGATAATATCGTCGTGGACGATCTTCAACACCTCGTAGAGAGGTTTTACCCAGCCTCGCTAAGGAATGACTAAATGAGTTGGATCTGAGCCATGCCCTGAGGCAGGTCGCTGGCGTGTGTGGGGTGTGAGATTAAGCTTTGCACTCGTCCCACATCAGGGCTTAAAGTGTTGGACACAGTGTAATACCATCGTCCATGTGAGGTTCGATCACATGTAGTGGACAAGGTAATGGTAATAATAATAGAGTAAATATTATCAAATGATGAGATTGATAATACGGTAAAAATAATAAATACGGATAGTTGAAATGATGGTGTAAGAACACTTATCTTTTTTCTTGTCGTGGTGCCAGATGGGCAGACCCATACTCCAAACAAAACTGCATAGCCATCCTCCTCTGTTGGTCAATTGGCTGGACCTAAAAAATGAGGTCCTCCACTCAAAAATGAAGTTCTCCAACTTTGGACCACAGTGAGGAGAATTAAAGTCGGACCTCACGTGCCCATCTAGAATTTTTTTCTTTTTTCACAGCTCGAGATCGACTGCTCTCAGCAACGACGGCGGCGGTAGATGCGGCTGTAGATGCGGCTGTAGCGGCGGAAGGTGATATGGGGCTGGGCAATAGAAACAACGACGAAGAAGACAAATTGAATGTGACAGCGATCGAGATCCATCCGGCGAGGATGGGATGCTTTTGAGAGCCTTCCCGGTCGAGGTGCGGCACCCCGCGACGAGGATCTTCGAACTGAGAAGGGAGAGTTCCTTGGGAGTCACCGGCGGTGAGCATCGGAGTTAGGCTGCTGGATGCGTGTTTCCTCGTCGCCGGCTGCATAGATCTGCTGCACAGATCTGTTGCGGGGGTTGCTGGTCGCCGGTTCACCGTCCGAAGCTTGCCGCTGCTGCGCTCGTCGGAGTGAAGGGGTCGCCGGAACTTCAACGACCGTAGCCGCCACTCTCGTTTGTGATTTAGTCCAGCTCGGATAGCAGGTGAAAGGTTGCGGCTAGCACCGGTCGCAGCACCTCTGATACAGATGAGAATGGAGTTGCCGGCGCAGATCCGGGGTCGTCAATTGAGTCCTGAGACGACGAATCTGCGGTAGATCTACGGCGAGGCTCTCACATCGTGCTTTGAAGCCGGTGGTGGTCTTCCATGTGCCAATGGCAGAGCTGGTTGGTGGTTGGTTGGGAATCCAAGACCAGTGACCGAATCCCACCACAAAGAATTAGAAGAACCATTTTGTTGTTTGTTTTTCTTTTGGAGCACGCTTGATGTGTTCGACACTCTCAACGAGAGCACCATTGTTGGGGTAAGGAACCCGGGGGTAGAGGAGAAGGAGAAAATGTGTAGATTAGATGAAGAAGATGAATAGTGTAGTGTTAAGCCTCCCTCTCCCCCCTCCCTCCTCTTCCAAGAAGAGGAGTATAAATAGGGAGAGCCAGGGTTAGGGTTTCGAACAAATGGGCCGGCCCAATAGACTGGGCCGCCCTAAATAGTAAATATGCGACTAATGGGCCGACCCAACAGATTGGGTCGCCCTTAAATAAATAATTATCGTACAACTAACGGGTCGGTCCAACAGATTGGACCGCCCCAACTAACATTATACAAAGACCGGATACCCCCTGTCCAGGGTATTCATCAGATAGAATATTAATTTTTAGAATATTAATTAAATGTATGCGTATAATATTTCATTGTAGATGGAGTTTTTTAAGGTGTTGCACCTGGGATAAATCTTCTCGATTCCTTTTCTTATTTTTAATTACTTTAATGCCCTTCATAATTGAATAAAGAGAATCACTTCTTAATTTCATGCATCTTAATTATTACCTTCCATTTTCGAATTTGGCGAACCGTCCAAGTAATTCTTTAATCAAAGTCATCCAATCTAATCGTAAGACTTGTATTTATTCTTATTTCTTTCACCAATGTCCATTCTCATAAGAACTGACTCCAATGGAAAAATAATTAATATACACATAAAACGACCCAAACATTCCTGGAAAAAGAATGAAAAATAGATCCAAAAAAATACTAAACCAAGATATACCAAAAAATTGAACTGTACCGAACTGATCAACATTCAGTTCGCTATTTGGAAACGGTACGAGGTAATTTCCCATACCGAAATTCTCGAACCGAATATATATTATCTCTATGTCCCATATCTTTCTTATCGGTTTCCTTTGTGTTGTCCCATATCTTTCTTCCCTTTTCTTAATATGGAAATTTTTTTAAAAAAAGACAATTCTACCCCTCATTTGATTTTCATCTTCCTTAGTACTTTGTAATTACTCCCCTCTTGTTCCAAATCCCATCTTCCTTATAGTACTTGTAAAACTTTATTTCAACGTCGGAGGCATTAAACACCGCCTCTTCCCCCGTTAAGCCACTGTCATCTTCCATGCGTCAAAAGTTTAACGGACGCTGGAACTCATTTTTGGCCGTTGGAACCCCCCCCCTCCCCCATAACAGCTATAATGTCGTTGGCATTTATAAAAAACTTCTTCTCCTTTATAAATTTAATCTTTTTATGAATTCAATACACACCACAAATACAAATCTCTCTCTCATATTTTTTTAAAAATAATCAAGTATTTGTTTTTATTTTAACATGAATCCATTCGCTTTTAATGTTTCTTCGTCCGCTCTCGAGTCAAATGAGGATGCGATGTGGATTTTTCAATCATACGCCGGTAATCCATCGATGTATGATACGGAAACCTTGGTGAATCTCCAGGACCCGGACGGTTCCAGAGACTCAATCGGAACCAAGTGCACCAAAAAAGTGCACGCCAGAAGAGTCACAAACTGAATTGAAGGGCGACAAGGCGATGATCGAGGCAACACAGTCCATTTAAAAGTGGACACTGGAGGAAGAATCATTGTTAATGTCTACTTGGGTTGGCGTCTCTGAGCATCCTATCGCTGGTAAAATTTATATGTTTTTCAATATACATTGTATATATATGTTATTTTGTTATATGTGTATTAAAATATATTTTCATTCAATTATATATTTCTTAAAGGTTTCGAGCAAATGAAAGATGCAATGTGGGATCGTATAGAGGAAAAATTCTTTTTAGCAATAAATAAGGACACCTCCTACCGAATCAGAGACCAACTCACTTTCAAATGAGAACACATCAACCACAGTGTGAGACCAACTCACTTCTCAAAAAGTTCCAACCATAGGGTTTGAACACCTAACCTCTTACATAATTCATTAAGTAATTAACCATCCAAGCTAAAGTATTTTTTGTTAGCTGTTTGCTTAAGCTCTTTGCTTAATGTTTTTATGTTTACAATGGTGAAATATATATTTTTATAATTATTAAAAAATGAAAAATTTATACAAATGTATTAAAAGAGATTTAAAATGGGTGCAATGCATATATCCACTTCATAAATGGGTACACATGTGGATGCACATGTGGCATGCCACATGTCAACACTACAATAACTAAACTCTATACTCTATTTTACACACACACACAGATATATATATATATATATATATATATATATATATATATATATATATATATATATATGATTAGCTAAAAAAATAAAACAAACTTTGATAAATAATTCAGATTAAACTTGATTTTTTGAGACAGCAATAGACAAAGGTTACTAACCGAGCAAACGAAAAACTAAACTTGATGATGAATAACTCCCACGTGCGACGACAGACAAATGTTTCAATCCTAATTAAAGTGTTGAAGGATTGAGGTGCGACTATGTGACTAAGCTCACAAACGTACATGCCGAACATACAGCTTGTTGCGATTGAATATACCAAAAAGAAACCACTTATATGCAAATATATGGCTTGTATATGCAGGTGCAAGATCAAAAGGAACCACATATACGTAGCGCGAAGTTTAGTCGCTTAAGAAAATTTTGGACTTGGTTTAATATGCTCGTTGAAGGATATGGACACAAGGCTAGTAAAGTAAAGTGTCAAACAAGAATAAGGGGTATGCTGAACTCGTGTGTATATTATCGACCTCCATATATATTCAAATGAATAACAAGGTTCAATCCTTAGTGACACCTCGATATTCGAGTTTGGAAATAATTTTAACTTATTTAGAGAATAGGGTTAGTTTGTGGTCAAAGTTACCATAAAAAGAAATTAGAACAAATAATTTCGGACGAAAGAAGTATGTTTTACTCTAGAGTAACTTCTTAATTAGCAAATTCTTGTGTGCTCCTTATGTATATACTCATTATATGGACTTTAATACATAAAATAATTGTATGTATTGTGCTTCGTACAAAGAATTACTTTAAAGTACTCTCGATTTTCTGATAATGACTTCGAGGTCCAACATTATCGGAAATATACTCCGAGGTACTCTCAGTCTTCTAGTAAGAACTTTCAGATCTTACATTATCTGAAATATACTTCGGGGACCTTAAAATTTATGATATTATACTTATAGGGTACATTCATTATATTTAGGCGTTAGGATTGAAAGTTCTTTTACTTTGCAAAACTAAGAATTTAATATAAATTTGATGAAATAATGATTATGTTAAAATTCTGATGGACCGAAAGCAACATGAATAGTGTTGGGATAAAATTAACTCCTTCCATATAAAGTCGAAATCCACTTCCTAACCCAAAAGTCTAAATTGATATGTAGAGTTTCACTCTTTTATATATGCTCATGGTATTCTTCTTTATTTTCCAATGTGAAAACTACAACAGATTATGAAGGTAAAATTTAGTTTTGTCAAAATATCAAAATATTTAATCATAACGGTCAAATAGATGGAATGTACCCAAGAAGTACATTACCACTAATTTTAAGGACCTCGTAGTATATTTTAAATAATGTAAGACCTGAAAATGTTACCAAAAAATTAAAGATACTTCATAATATATTCCAGATTACGTGGGATCTGAGAGTCATTATTAAATAATTGAGGGTATTCCAAAATAATTTTTAATACTTGTATAAAAAAGAGATTAGCCCACACCAAACTATTCTTAATTACACTCCGTAAATCTTCGTGTGGACTTTCTGACTTTCTATTTTCTTTACCTACAACCGGGCATGGAGTACTCGTATTTGATTAGAAGTGGGCCGCTTCTCTGAACAAATACAGTTTTGTTGTACGTTTCTGGACGCGTTTGGTAGTTGAGAATTGGAAATTCAACCAGCGGTGGAGATGGACGGCGGAGACGCGGCGGTGCAAGAGACTGTGGCGTGTGCATCTTGGATTAGACGGCCGGGAAACGCCCATCTCTTGGCGGTGGGGAAGTCGAGGCCTTCAACGCTCGAGATTTTCTCCTTTGATCCCAAAACCACATCTTTTTGTCCTTCTCCCAAGGTCACTCCTTTCTTTCTCTTGCAGGAAAAAAAACACTTCTTTAGGTCTTTATATGCTCTAAATTGACTCACCCGACTGAAATCTGATAGAATTGGCATTGTAGGCCAAGTATTTGTTTGAGGAAGGAGTCGATCCAGTGAGCATTGCAGCGCATCCCAGTGGAGACGGCGTCGTTTGCTCGACCACCACTGGCTGCAAGTCAGTACCCTTGCTATCTCTGTGGAGAAAATGGCCAGTTTACCAAAACTAATATTTTGGGGGTTCAGCTCCTTCACCTTTTGGTGTTTGTTTTAAAACCGTAAACTTTGGTTTTGGAGTAGTTCTTCTTTCATAGTTTCATGCTTGTGTTAAAAGCATATCTTGTAACATACAGATTTTTCGAGTTGTCTGGCCGGGAAGATAACCTTAAACTCGTGTGCAAAGAATTGGTTCATCTTCAGGATGTTGGCCAGCAGAAATGCCTTGTTTTTAGTGTTGATGGATCTAAGTTGGCTTTGGGTGGAGCTGTAAGCATTCTTGTGATTACTAACATTGTTTTACGACAATGAATTTCTTGTACTTCACTTCATGCATCTTTGTTCTTACTGCTCCAATGATAAATCTGAAGGATGGGCACTTTAGGCTCTTTGAGTGGCCAAACATGTGCAGTATTGTGGATGAACCAAAAGCTCACAAGTCATTCCAAGATATAGATTTTAGTTTAGACTCAGAGTTCTTAGCCTCGACCTCCACGGATGGTACAGCAAGAATATGGAAGACCAGTGACGGCGTTCCAGTGACATCTCTCACACGAAAAGCTGTATGTCCCCATCTCCTATCAATTCACTAACAACCCATTGTGTTGTTACAGCATGTATCATTTTCATTTCAATTGAACCTGTCATGGTTTTGAGCCTGTTTCATGCCGTATTATCTACCACAGGATGAGAGGATTGAACTTTGCCGCTTTTCTAAAGACGGGACAAAGCCTTTTTTGTTTTGCGTTGTCCAAAGGGGTAACATGTGGATCTTAGACTTAGCATATGAAAAGCACCTTTTTGTTTAATAAAAATAAATAGTTGAACCAGAATCGAGTTTTTATTTATTTATTTTGCCCATGCATAGGAAATAAGACATTGATTGCAGTTTGGGACATGATTGAGTGGAAGAGAATCGGGCACAAAAGTCTACTTAAAAAGCCGGCTTCCATAATGTCAATTAGTTTGGATGGGAAATATCTTGCTGTGTGAGTCTCTCTTCTGCCTCTTCTTTCCCTTAGAGCATTTAAATGGGAAATATTGTCTCAGATTAATGAGCACCAAAAATGCAGGGGAAGCAAAGATGGGGATGTTTGCATTATTGAAGTAAAAAAGATGGAGGTGTCTCACTATAGTCGAAGGCTTCACTCAGGCTCATACATCACATCGTTGGAGTTTTGTCCTAGCGAAAGGTATGGTACTGAAACTATTCTATAGTTCAGCAGATTAAGACCCCATTTGTTAGGATTAGTCAATTCGTTTTTCATATCAAGATAATAATGATTATGAGTTTAGTCTTTTTCGACTAAAATCTATTAGACTTAATTGTATTTGATTGAACTAAACTAAAAGAAATCACCCAAAATAGGAGCAAAACATAGCCTTTATCTCAAAAGAGGAGTAGTATTTTTTTATATCTAGAAATAGGACTATTGCAGTGTGACAATGTGACACTGTATATTGGCATTTCACATTCACAGTGCCTTTTGGCATTATATGCTGGCATTATAGGTCTTGTTTTGGGGATAAAACCATCAAGGCCCTATTTCGATCTCCTTGCTATGTTTTAGTCCTATTTTGATCTCCTTGCTATGTTTTAGTCCTATTTCGGTCATTTTTCCCTTAACTAAACTGAATTGAACTAAACTAACTGAGTACGAGTATATCATAAACTGAATTGAACTAAACTAACCGAATATAAATGTTTTGAGCTTTACTGAAAGTTAGTTGTAATTTTAATTGAGAAGTGTTGAACTAAACTCAACTTAATTTAACATAATTGAATTGAAAAAAGTTTTAAAAAAACATACTCTGTACTCAATAAGGAGAAGAAGTAGCCTTTGACTTATTTGGCTGAAATTGATTTTTTCAAATATTTTTTCTTAGAAAATGTCCAGCTGATTCAACCGGAGTCATTTCACCCAAATAACCCTTACGAAATGGGTCTAAGTGAACTCTTCAGTGTCAAAACTTGGGTAGCCAAAAGGCCTTTTTTCACCAAATGTTTGAGGTAGCTGCTTTAGTCTTGTATCATTACAAGATTACTATTCTAAATCCAAAAATGGCTTCTTTATAGTTTGATAATACACCGATCATGAAATAGTAAAAGAAAATTTTTTGTGCACTGCTTCATCTAATAGTTGTTAGTGGTTACACATCTGCAGGGTTGTTCTTACCACATCTGCTGAATGGGGATTAATATTGACCAAGCTGAGTGTTCCAGCGGATTGGAAAGGTCTCTCTCAGTTTTTGTTTTAGGTGTTTTTTCATCTTACCATTTCAGAATCTGAGACATCTTTTGCCCATTGCAGAGTGGCAGATATATCTGTTACTATTAGGATTATTTTTAGCATCGGCTGTTGCATTTTACATCTTCTTTGAGAACTCGGATTCTTTCTGGAACTTTCCCGATCCGTCCGCAAAACCAAAGATGGACTCTGCTGTACTTGGAGACTCAACTACACCAGACGACCAAACCGTGTGGGGAAGTTTTGGAGTAGACATGTAAAATGATCCCCAAGAAACAAGTATAGTTTAGATAGAACTCACACTATTTATTAATGATTGGATTTTCAAGATACCCAAAGGCCTACCCCTCCCTACATTTGATATATGTAAATTTACAAGTAACACAATACTTATTTCGTAGTTCGTACATTGTTCCTTTTCTCAGAGCTATGTATATTACGGATTATGAAATTGAGATTTGCACTTTTGATCTTTACAAAAAGCCGAATGTGTTTTGTATGATTGTTTATGTTCTTCATTTGCCCCTAATACCCGATGCATATTAGCATCGATGACATTCATTGATTCGCTCTACACGCCTCTTTCATTCATCACCGTCTAAAAACGCATGAGAAAGCATCTGGCATAGCACAAACAACAATGTGCAATGACAGAATAGAGAAAATTTAACTGATGATACAATCATATTTGCAGGTCAATATTCTATGGTTAATCACATACCCAAAAAAATTTGAAGAGATTCAATTGTAAGAAACTTTTAAAAACATGTAAACATATTGATTGTTTGAAAAATGCCATTGGTTGCACCAAGATAACAATATGACTAGTACAATATAATCTGCATGGTGAGAAAGTGCATTATATTTGTAAACAACAAAGTGTCTAAATCGCACATTTAATAATTAATAAAACATAATTTTAAAATCATTAATAAATTAATAAAAGTATTTGCCAAAAATACTTGAAAAAAAGTAATAATGGTTACTTAAAAACACACTCCATGTCCCCTTGTTATGAATTTCTAGCCACATAATGTTCGCGTGACAATTTTTGACCAGGTGATTAAACTTTTTATACTTCCATTGTCCGGTTAAGTTTTAATATCCCTTTCAGATTTGTTCGTTTCAATTTAATTAGTTCTGATCTGTTTCAATTAAGTTTTGATTTAATCTAATTCCAATAAGAATAAATAATAAGTGAAAAGAATAAAATGAAGAAATCAAACTCGGTTCCTCAATTCAAACTTTTAATTCCACCCTTATCACCAACTTTGACACCATATATATACTCACCTTTCCCATCTCATAATCCAAAAGTACACACATTTTTATTGCATTTGCAGAATCAGTTGAAAACACTCCATATGTCCTATATGACTCCCTAACTACACTACACATTGACTCGTGATTGACTCATTGACTTTTGTGAGCAACGGCGGGGGCTAGCGGCCAGCAAGAAGTTACTGTGACAAACCAGGTCTCGAAACAGTTCCGCAATGAAATTCATTAACCACAATTTAATCACAAGATTTATTACAAACCTTTGAAATATCCCTTCGAAAAAATGACATTTTTTGGTCGAGCAATGAATGTGAGGGGATACGTCCAAAATTCAAGGGCATTGGATCCTATTTTTCACTGTCGTTATGAGATTACAAAGGGGAAATTGAACTCCACAGGTGAAAGGTGATCCCTCTTCTGTTCATCTGCAGTGGATCGCCTTGAACCCGAGCATTTTTACTTTGATCATCTGACAGAGATCAAACCTGTTTTTACCTCTTATTTATAGATGTATATATACACACAATGGATCATGCTGATGGTCCTTGAGCATAAACCGCATTGTCATGAAATCGGGTTACTTGTTGATAAAAAGGTTTGATACACATTAGAGTATATGGCTGTTACACTAGTCCCGACTGCAAACATGATCACCAATACTGCCAGTATCCTGTTCTGCTTGGTACAAATCTTATGAACATCTCTGCAAAACATTGTCAGATATTTATAGATAGTACGGAGTATAATACAAGGATAGTACAGATAATACAAGGAAAAAAAGTATTCCCTCTGCCCACCAAAAAAATGTTCATCTTGGTCAAGATACAATTGTTTTAAATTTAGAAAGATACAATTCTTATAAGGCTTGATAACACACACATACGGAGTATATATTTGGATTGACTAAAACAGTTTGTGAGTTTTACTTTTTAAAAAATTACATGAAAAAATAGTTCCTTTTTTGGGAAAAAAACTTTGTAACTGTACTAGCTTTTTGGGACAGAGGGAGTGACAAAAAAGCATCAAATCCCTTTAGCTATGAAACAGTTTTGAATATCACTCAAATAAATAGTAGCAGACGTGGGATCGCAGTGAGGTAAAGAATGATATATACGCACCTAAGAATGATCATGCTTGGGAATATGAACATGATGCACATGACAGTGGTTGTTCCCATGAACTGAAAGAAGTACCAAATATTTGGAATGCAAATTGCAGCTACATACATGAATACGAGAAGAACGCCCGTGAGTGATAAAAACCTTGCAGTTTCTGTAGACAATACAGGTCCTTTTGGGAACAGTAGTTCATCTACATTAACTCTGAGAGAGTAATTCATGATGGGAAACACCAGCATGAGATGAATTGCATAACTCAACCGAACAATGGTGTTAAGCAGTGTGTGAATAAGGGAATCAGTGTTTTGATCAAAGTTAACAAGCATGTCTGCCATGATTGTGTCCCCGAATAGCAAATACCCAAAAAAGCCAACAGCAAAATAAATGGCAACACATAGCACTAAGGATATCCGGACTGCCGAGGTCATATCAGATGGCCTGCCAAGTTCTGCTCTGATTGGATGAACTGCAGAATAAATGCACCCATAATGGTAATAGAAGTTCATAGGAAAGAAAAAGTGAAGGACTATGCTCTTATGTTTTTTTAGTGCTACTCACTCTATTACAATGTAGTATTTGTTCCTACTTTCTCATCATAATGACGCACAAAAAGCTAATGCCTTTGTCTCTACTGGGTATTGCCCTAAGTGAACTTCCATATAAATCTTGGAGAGTGGTTTTCCTGCCACCCAAGCCAATGAAAAAGTTCAGGACTATGGTCTTATTGTTTGTGAATTGACTCTAAAACAACCTGACACTAACTATTACAATATCTTTTTAGTGGAAGATCCGAAGTTCATAGCCCGCTACTCCCCACTAAAAACTGAATCTTGTTTGTAATACCATTATTAGTCCTAGAAACATTGCCTTTGTTTTGAATAAACGTAGGAAATGAATGCCATTACAAAAGCTACTGTGTTGCTTCATGTCCCATCAATTTATGTTTTTGTAGATGATAATGTTCTTACCATTTACATGGCATCCAAAGGCTGTGGCAAACACTGGGATGGTCGTGAATAGATCAAAAACAGTGACTCCATTTGCAAAATCGGGAAACATCCTTAAAGGTTGAGTCTCCCCTTTCCACAATGAATACAATGCCATCCCAGAGCATATGGCAACAAAGAGCACTGCTAGCAGAATGGATATAGCCGATGCATGGCTAAGTGAATCTACAGAGAGAAATTTGAAATTTAATTAAAGACCATTACAATAACAAAAAAACATGCCATTACATTCCGGTTAAGTGTTTCGTTGGCAATTTAAATGGATCACATATTGAATGGCTAAAGACATTACTGACCTATATGCCTTAAACACAGCAAGGGAAGCATAACAAAAAGCACCACGACCAGGACAGAAAATGGTCTTGATGTCCACCAATGATTGCCAAACCATTGCTGTAGGACACCAAGGTGCAATGTTCCATCAGAATCATTTCCTGAGAGCACATCACCTATGAAAAAGAACCAAATAAATCAATCTAAGAAAATACTGTAAGTGGCTACAGTACAAACATGTATTTCATCAAATCTCTTGGGCAGAATAATTACTCCGTAGTAAAACTGTACATAACTCACTGAACAGTCAATGAATTAGCTTCCAGACCATAAATAGTAGACCATTTTACAGTATTTCCAAGAACAGGAGAGTAAAAGTTACTCTAAAGCTGTGAAATTTGCATAGACTTTGTTCAAATGCAAAAGATATCATTGATAAGACACAAATCTATAACACCCAGCTCACTAACTACCCATTAATTAAAGAGTAAGACATAAATCTAAAGCACCCAGCTCTCTAATTACCCATTAATTTATTCTAAAAGCTCTAGGAAGAGATCTTTGCTAACCGATAATGATCAAATAGATAATAAGGGCGCCAAGATTGGTAATCATGACACATATCTGAAGAGCAAGGGACCCAAATTTCCCAAAAGACTCGGCCATCAATCCACCATAAGAATCCGTCTCGCCGGAGTTGGTATATTTCAGGAGAAAATCAACGGTCACCTCCACAAAGTAGGCTACGACCAATATCACAAAGAAGCTGGGAATCACACCCAAGACCTTGAAAGTTGCAGGAACTGACATGATTCCAGCACCCACCATGCCGGTTGAGACATTGAATATAGCACCGCTTATTGATCCTCCTTCCGTTCGTCGGCCCGCCGATGAAAGCAGCGGTGCTTCTGCTGCCTCAACTTGGGATTCGGATTTCATTTCCCTGCTTCGGGCGCCTTTGTGGTTCGGCGGTCTATGAGTGACTATGACTCAATGCCCGGTACTCCTTTTTGGCCTGAACCATCCCCATTACACAATTAAAATTCAAAAATGCTAGGGATACACTATTCGTCCCTCACCAAAAAATAAATAAATAAAAATAAAATAAAAATGAATGGTGGAGAAAAGAGTGTGGAACAAATGGGGTACACCAAAAACATTGCTCTTAAAATTCTTATAAAAACACCCAAAGTATTTAATTAGAGCATCTCCAAAGTTTATTGTAAACTAGATTCATACCCGTGCAACGCACGGTCAATAATATAAGAAACTAGTATTAAGTATTAACCCTGTGCTTCGCACGGGCTTGTAAACATTCTAAAATTTTAAAATTTTACTTTTTATTTTCATTACTTATTTCCATTTGATAAAATAATATAATCATGTCATCTATATGTTTTTTAAACTTTTGATGCAGTTTTAAATATAAAAATGTTATTTTTAAATTTTACACTTAATCAAACAAATTGAATTTAAAAGAACTTCAATCAAATCTCGTAAATTGAGAAGTCAATTTTAGGACAGAGGGTGTATAATAAAATAAATCTAAAGTTTTAAAATATATATCATATAGTTAATAAAGATGCTTATGTAGTAGAGTCAATAGCACTCAAAAAAAAGATGTATATGTGATAAATTAATGAAATTGCTTTTTAAAAGTAATAGAAATATAAATTATGGATTATAAAAAAATAACTTATTTAACATTTTTAAATTATTGGAATTAGTTTTCGAACTTTAAAATATATTAGAATCATGAAAATATAATAAAAAAAGTATTATTAAAGTTAGAAAGTGAAAGTTTATAAACTGAAGGAATTTGTAAAGTATAATAAAAATTAATAGGCACGCATGGCATGCCACGTGGCATGTGATACACATGTGGCATGGCACATGTTACAAATGTACACATGTGGCGTGACACATGTTGTTACCGCATTTATGCCGCTCAATTTTATAGATATATACTAGTATTTTGACCTATGTCACGCACGGGGTCAACCGATTTTTTCCTCAATTCTGAAATTTTTTTCAATGCAATATATTTTCTAGAATAAAAAACATGAATAGCAGGTTTTTTGGCACGATAGACACCAACATTAAAGTAGAATAAATAATATTTGAATAATTGAGAATGAACTCAACTACGTGTTTTTTGTTTCCATTTCTTTGAAAGACTTCAAGCTATACAATATGTTGGTTATTGCCATCTATAAATAATATTTTAAATAATTTTTTTAATCATGTTTTTATCGTGAAACAACAACATAAACTTGATCATGACTTTGGTAGGTGGTATCATTATTATAGCATATTTTTATCACTCTCCATTTTAAATTAAAATTTAGGTATTACCCTTATCTCAAAATACTCATCGAGTTTGTCTTTTTTGTAGTCACACTTAAAAAAAAAACTTGATGAAATATTAAAGAAAAATTACATTGTTTATTGGTAAAAATTTATTTGTTAAAAAAAACTTATATCTTTCTTTAACATGGTAGTATAAATTTAATTAGAAATAGACTGAACTTTCCTTTCCTTGAAGTAGAATCATAATTTTTATAGTATGAGGATCATAGAAAAGTTTGTGCCCACAAACATTATTTCTATACTAAATTTTCTGTTACTTATTTATATTCTCTATATTATTTTTATATATGTAGGTACGACCCATCATAAAAAAATTCTAAACAAAAGCTATATTATACAGAACAATAGTGCTAGGACGTAATATACGACAAAAGACCATTTTCTAGAAGTTTAATGAATTTTAAATTTATCACAGACCAAGACATTTGAACCTAGATATACGTTTAAGCTTTTAAGCTAAACCAAATAAAAGTATTTGTAGACAAAATCATAAAATCATCTACTACTATCCACTCTTACATCCTGTAGTTTAACCATATCATGTAAGTCAATTCATAAAACAAAACTTTTTTTATAAATCAATTATAATACTTTGTATTATTTTTCTTCAATCTTGTCACTCTTCAACTTGGTGACCAACTTCTCTCAATCTCCAATATCAAGTTCTTGTTCATATATTCTTTTTATTAGCGTGGATAAAATATGAAATTAAAAAGAATTGTAGTGAAAAGAATATCATATATAGTATCTAAATGGATGAAACACAAAAACACTTATTGTTGGTAGAAATTGACTTTGGATGGCCATGCTTAGTAGAATATTCAAATATGACAATAGTAGCACTGTCTAAAAGTGTTAATCACTCGAGTCTTAATCCGTACCTGTTTGTCATTATTCAATGCTTGTAAAATCCAGACATCTTGTTTCGAATACAAATCAAATATTTGTTTTTTTGTAAAATCTAGCCAACACAATACAATTAGTAAAGATGGTAAATGATTTACATATATCAACTCTCAGTGTGCAAAATACAAAAATACCTCTCTATGATACTGTAAAACATGAATAAAGCGAAAAAGGTATACTATAATTCTCCATTTATATATCTTCTTTTAATGGGATTTTGCAAAATAAATGAAATAGAATTGTGCAGATAATGAATGCCACCACATCTTACGAGGAACATTCTGATTCAATTTCTTTGTGATGAACTCATGGACAAATTCATCTGGTAAATTTCTTTTGAAGTGCCTTATCCTGGTGTTCCAACTTGAGTCTCGGGCTGCCAACACAATACAATAAATAAAGACGGTAAATATATCAACTCTCAATGTGCAGAATTCTTTTACAATTGACAAAATTATCATGCTACGATCCATTTCATATACGGAGTATGTATAATTCTACAACACATGGAATGAAATGATTAAGAAAATTTAAAAAAACGATTAAAGAAGACACCTAGATTATTGGATGCACTAATAAGAGATTAGAACTCGAAAAGCTACTTGAATCAAAGACGACGATAATGTCAGCTTAGATTAATTCACATCATTCATTTACAGAATATATTAAAGAGATAGACTTAAGATAAGTTGAATCCTCTTCCCCCCTCCCCCCAAATCGTGCAAATTAATTAAATAAACTTGTGATTGATAACTCAGAGTATCAAACGCAACCTCCAGTGGAAGTTCCCTCCATATTTTGTTCTTTAGATAGCTACAAACATGTTGAATACTTGTCGTGCAGTCCAAAACAAATTAAAAATTTATAAAATATCCTTAGCTAACCTCCAATATATAATCAAATAAAAACTATAGCTAGGGCAAATAAAGGTCGATCCCATGGAGAAAGTTTGTACGTTTTCAAACCAATTTAGCATGCAAACACATTATCACGAAAATAAAAAAAATAAAAGCAAACTAACTACTACACATATGATAAGACGTATAAAACTTATAATAAAATATATAACGAAATAAATATAAAACTTATAAATATAACTTATATAAACAAAGAACTTATAATATAACTTATAAAAACAAAACACATATTTAAAAATATACTAAGAATATAGTATAAAAAACTTATATTTATAACTTATAAACAAACACTGATAATATAACTTAGTAAAAAACTTATATTATAAACTAAAACAACATAACAAGGGGGGAGGGGTTGGATAAAAAGTAAATATTTTTTGGTTTTTTATATTTTCTAATTTTTTTTGGTTTCTTTTGATAAAATTGGAGAAAACATGCTCTAAAAAGGTAATCAACTTCTCCAACAAAGGTAACCCAAGAAACACCACCAAGAACCCGAAACAAAATGAAAAAGAGAACAAACACAAATCAAACATTACACGTATAATAGGTACGTAGAGAATATATTACGTAACTTACGCACTTAAGAATAGGAAAAATCAATCAAAAGCCGAGTCGATGCATTTCCTTAACCACGATATGGAGGATTGTCAACTCTCCACACGGCCCGGAGTTATGCAATTCAAAGGCCCATTTTGAAATATACCTTAGAACCCCAACTCACCAATCAAACATGAAAACATACTTCCACTATAGAAAAAGTTTATAAAATAACGAATTTTTTTCATTCTAAATCTCATGCATAATCTATTCACAAACCGCCAATACCTTATGCATTTTAATAAACCTTGTCTCCTAATGAAGAGCATATTTCATAGATTTCCATGAACTTCTCAAACAAATGACGTTTTTTCTATTCACATAAATTAACACAACATATTTTCAATAAATCAATAATTGTTTTTGAGCTTAAACAACCTTAATTTTATGAAAATAACAAACAAACACATGAAAACATAAGAAAATCACTCCATAAGAACTCCAAATTCCTTAAAATCAATAAACATAAAGCACACCAAAGATCACGTATGAATCCGGAGTTCATTTAACTACCTTATGGAGCTAAAATAGCTTCAACAAAAACCGAATTTCTCATACCAACCTACTTATGAAATTAAATTATGCAATTGAACGAATTCAACAACAACTTGCTCAATAATTGAAGAAAACAAGTTTGAATCAATTCTCATTCGTAAGGGATTTAATATAAACATTAAAAAAATCCAAAGAGAAGAACACCAACCATTTTTGGAATTTTTGGAACAAACTAACAAACAAAAAATGTAAATTAAATCCAAAACAAACTTTTACATAGAATTGGAGGAAGAAAAAATAAAATTGACAAATAAGGGTTACCAGTTAGTTGAAGAAGATGAACAAATTGAGGAATTGGAGCTTAAAGGAGACAGCCCACTGCTCGTCGGAGCTTTTGCCGCCGCCGGTTCGGCCGTCTTCCGGCATCTTCAATTTATATAGCAAGAGCTTTTTTCCGTTGGAGACTTGAATGAGAGGCGAGATTTTAGGCCAAACGTTGGAGCGTCGGAATTGAATGATGCGTCGCTCGTCTCTTGCGCGATGAAGAAGAAGAATACGTTGATACGTTCTCCGTTCTCTTTTTTTTTGCTTGAAACAAAAGAGGGAGGAGTGTTATTGTTGGGCTGATCTTGTTATTGTTGGGTTTGGGCTCCGGCCCAAAATCAATCTATTTTTTTCAAATTTGAACTTCGTTTTGGCCTTTTGCTACATTTTTCTTCACAAAATAAGATATCTAATAACTTGGGTTAGAAAAAATAAAATGAAAATAATTAAATGTAAAAAGCTACTATTTATGAAATAAAATAAAAAGAATGTAAAGATGAAAATTAAAATAAGCTTAAGCTAAAAAACTAAAAATCAAACACTAAAAATATTTAAAAAGCCTAAAAAACAATAAAAAAACTAACCCAAAAGTGACTTATCAAAACATCACACCTATATAGATGTACTTGACAATATCATTCTAAACTTATGCTACAAACAGTACTATAAAATTCTTAAGTTGTATAAAGGATAAAAGAAGAGATTCAACATGAAAGTTATCTGGGTTAATAGCATGGGCACCCCCTGTGGTTTACAAAAAAAGGGTCAAACCCCCCCCCCGTTTTCAAAAGTTATTTGTAAAGTCCCTGTGATTTCTAAATAGAGCACACATGCCCCCCTTACCTATTTTTAAAGCAAAAATGACATTTATGCCCTTTGTTTTCTCCGATCTTGAATTTTTCCGATTTTAATTTCCTTTATTATACAAATATATAAAATAAAATATATTCTTCCCATCTCAAATTAGAATTTTTCATAATGTACTTTTGAAAACAAAATATTTTTTGGAGAATGTTACAAAAAAATGAAAAATAAAATATTATTTACAAAGTAAAAAGTAATAACAGTTAAAAAAGTAATGAAAAAAAATAAAAATATAAAAAATAGTCTTTTTCTTTAACTCCATATTTTATTTCATCTTTCTGTTCTTCATTTTTCATTTTTAAATTAAGGAATTAAAGAAAAAGACTATTTTTTATATTTTTATTTCTTTTTATTACTTTTTTTAACTGTTATTACTTTTTTACTTTGTACATAATATTTTATTTTTCAATTTTTTGTAACATTCTCCAAAAAATATTTTGTTTTCAAAAGTACATTATAAAAAATTCTAATTTGTGATGGGAAGCATATATTTTATTTTATATATTTGTATAATAAAGGAAATTAAAATCGGAAAAATTCAAACTCAGGGAAAACAAAGGGCATAAATGTCAATTTTGCTTTAAAAATAGGTAAGGGGGGCATGTGTGCTCTATTTAGAAAACATGAGGGGTTTTGATGCCTTTCTTAATTTGTCAGTCTTTTGCTCCTTACATGGTTTTTCCCTTTGCAGATTTCCATCTGTGCTTGGGAGAGGAGGAACGGAAGTGTGAGGAGGAACATCAGGGTGAGGAAGAGGCATGTGAGATGAAGAAAGGACAGGAGCTGTAGAATTTTTTGTTATGGGGTGGAGTTTCTAATTTTATGTTTGTGTTTGGAGGGAAATGTTTAGAAATTTTCCTCCTAATTGAAAAATCTTTAAACTTTTGATTTTGGTGCTCTTCCCTTTTAGAAATTCTCTACAGTTTCTTTACTCCTTTCTTCTACAGTTTTTTTAAAATGAAAGGCATAATTCGAAGTTAAAGTGAAAAAATTCAATCCCTTAAAAATGAACTAAAGTCAAAGTGAGAAGATCAATATAGTATGGAGGGAGGAACAAAATCTCTTCAAAATATAAGTGCAAACAATTATACCAAATGGGATATGTTACAAACAGCATAGAACCACGGTAACGTATTAGTATCCAAAAATTTGAAACTTACAATCAACCTAAAATTATATTTATAAGAGAATTATTAAGAATAAAAACAAACTAAGAAACTTGAAGCTAAATAACACCCAAATTAAACAAAAGGATCCAAAAACGAGTACCAAATTAAAGAATGGAAGTACAAACACAAAAGTCATTTGATATCCTTGTACAAATGAAGATGCTCATGTGCTAATTAATCAATCATTTCTAACATAATTCACAAAGTATTAAATTAGTTTTTTACTTCCATTAAAGTGATTGTATTGATGTGTCTTGAGTCCTGTAAAAAATAACATGAGCTCACTACTAATAAATAATCATTAAGTATGAAATGATTTTGCCCAACGACCAAAATGTATTTTGAATATCGCAAATTTATACGTAAATGAATTGTGAGAACTAAACATCACATGCTAGAAAATAACTCAAGTTATTGCATTAGAAAAATACTTTGTATGCCCAAGGGAGAAAGTGTTGGGAAAATCACCTCAATTTTCTAGCGGAAGCAATTAATAATTTTCCCGTCTTTGTGTTGTCAAAATGGGAAAAATCATATGACCGATCAAGAATAGTAAACACGTCAACAAGCAATCAATCAAACGATAAACGAACACCAAGATTTAACGTGGAAACCCCAAATCGGGGAAAAAACCACGAAGCCTTTCACTAATCACCAAGAAAATCAGTGGGTACACCAAGAATCTTCTCTAAATCAATTAGAGGTACACACAATCATCAAGTAATAACTTGGAACACCAAACAACAATAATCTTCACTAAAGAGTGAGAAATCCTCAATAAAAACGCAGCAGTAAACAGAGACGATTTTACCGACATCGAGAGGTCAAAACAACAATCCCACCGTTGGATATGAAGAAGAGGATCTCAGGAACAACATACTAAAATTTCATCCCGATCGGAGCTCGTTTGGTCATCGATCGGAGCACAAAACCAGGCTGCACCTCTCTTTTTCTCTCTTCTTCCTTCTCTCCGCTTCACCCTCTTTTTTCCTCTCTGTTTTTCTGCGTTGTTTCTGCCGTGTCCAGCCACACAAAACAAAGGCTATTCCCTTTTCTACAAAGTGGCAGCCCACTTTGACTATTCCCTTTCTTTTTTTTTTCTTTTATAATAATAATAATAATAATAAATATTGTTATTATTATTATACTACTCCACCTCTAAACAAATTACATTTTTAACATTAAATGTATTGTTTAGGAACTCCTTCCTCCATGTAGGAGGGATACCCAACAGAAAGCTTAAACCAGGTGTAAGACTTAGAAACTATTAGCGCCTTTTTTTGGGAAATTGATATATTAATTTAATATTACACAATCACAACTTAGAAACTATTTGCGCCTTTGTAGTTTGTACTTCAGTTGGAGCAAGGTATATATTTTAATACAAAAGAGAATTTAAGTAAATGCGATTAAAAATAATGTCAAGGTTTTTAAAGTTTAAATTCCCAATCTTTATGAAAAGTCTAAACGTTAAAAGAGTAAATAATTTTTTAATTAATTACAACTCTTATTTGTCAAACTGATTTATTTCAATACCAAATTATTTTTAATTACTGGAGAGCATGAGATTTGGTAAACAAACCACACCAAATAACGAAAGAAACCATAATCATAGATTAGCAAGATAGTTGATTGTAGACTTTCAACTAACATGCAAGCAATGACTGTTGGGAATTAAACACACAACACACACAAATAACTGCGAAAAACAGAACACAAATGAAATACAAGAATTTAACGTGGTTCGGTTTCCCTAATTCACGGCTACAACAGGAAGAATTTCTTATTTCACTTGTAGTGTCTCCTCACAGCAAGTCAGAGTGACCTCCTCGTCACTCGCAAAGCCTTTAGCAATGTTCACATTATTATCATTCGAGCATTGATTCCTAAAATGCCTCACCTCCTTGCACTTCCAGCACGTTACGCCTGAGCTATCCCGAGTCTTCGATTGACTCCTTCGTCTGTTCTTGCTGCCACTACCTCTGTTGTTTCCTCTGCCTTTAACTATATTTAGTGATTCTTCTGAAGACTCACCAGAACTCCTTCTTCTGACATCTTCGCCAAGAACGAGGTCACGAATCTTCTCAAATGTGAATCCATCAGGTCCCGCTGAACTGGTAACTGCAGTAACAGTTCCGGACCAACTGTCAGGCAATGACGACAACAGTAGTAAAGCTTGAACTTCATCATCGAACTTAATGCCCACTGACAAAAGTCTGGCTAAGATTGAATTCAACTTGTTGATATGCTCGGTAACTGAAGTGCCATTTTTCATCCTTGTGTTCACCAGCTCTCTTATCAGAAAAACTTTATTCGCAGCAGATGGCTTCTCGTACATGTTAGACAGCGCTTCCATAATTCCCTTCGCTGTCTTCTCCTTCAGAATGTTGAAGGCAACATTCTTGGTCAACGAGAGACGGATCACGGACATAGCTTTCCGTTCCAAACTTGCCCAATCTGCATCCGACATCTTTTCTCGCTTGTCACCCATTACCACGTCCAAATCTTTCTGAACCAGCAAATCTTCAATTTGCATTTTCCACCAACTGAAATCTGTACCATCGAACTTCTCAATTCGAAACTTTCCATCTTCTGCCATCTCAGACGACTAGACGAGATACACGGTACAACTAATTTCAGATCTTGGTAATTTTTTTCGTCAGAAAATCAGGCCCACCACACCAATCAAATTAGCCAAAAAAAATTAGCACAAAATCCACTCACCAAAAAAAACACGGCCCAAATCTGATAAAGCCCAATAAAAAAGGACTGATCCGAGCATGAGATTTGGTAAACAAACCACACCAAATAACGAAAGAAGCCATAATCATAGATTAGCAAAGAGAGTTGATTGTAGACTTTCAACTAACATGCAAGCAATGACACATTAAATTTAATCCCATACACTCGAATCCAATATTTCACAAAATACAAAAATGATGTACATAACAATATTTACCTTAACTGGCACGAAGTGTTTTTTATATAAAAATCTCATAAAACACATTGGCGACAACATAAAAAGCACCAAACATCAATTAAAAAAAGTGAAATTTGTCCTAAATAGGACTAAAACATAATGACTTTCTTAGTGTAGGACTTAAACTTTTTTATTCCTTAAATAGGACTTAATAATGACCTAGTAAGAAAAAATACTGTCCAGTAATGAAGGACATTTACTTGAATAATGATTACTTCATAATGACCAAAGGTTCTATATTGGAAAATAAAAACATATAGTCCTATATTGGGAAAGTCATTATGTTTTAGTCCTATTTAAGTAAATTTCTCTTAAAAAAATCAGTTTCAATCTCAACGTAAGTGATGATAATGGACATAATGCGATAAGACTTACTAAAAAACAACACAATGAAAGAAACTATCACATAAAAATAATTATTCACTCTTAGTTGAGAAAATATCAGATAAAAAGTATAATATTTATAGGGCAAACTTTTAAAATCTCTATATTCCAGAAACGGTGTCATTGCTTGCATTGGATATTAGTTGAATGCAATAAGAATATACAATATTTTCCAAATCAAAATACTCTTATAGTATGATACAGATAATAAAACCATGCAGGATCAATTTAAGCGTTTAGATTAACAAAAAACATTGATTGAAGGTGATAAAAATTAAAAGGAATTAACATCTATTTGATGGGGTTGATGTAAACCTGCATATAATTTATATGCTCCTAGACTCACCTTAAAACCTGCACCACGAATTTTTTTAGGATAATCTTTGCATTAGATAAATGCATAAAAAGAATATATATATATATATATATATATAGGATTGACTCCAGTGAGATGACATTTTTCAGTGAGATGACATGCTTCGGTCAGATGACGCAAAGCTCACCACACTACACTACAAAGCTCACCAATGGACAATGCAAAGCTCACCTGAAAATGAAGCAAAGCTCACCACTTTGAACCCCAAAACTCACCTTTTTTTTAAATTTTAAAAATTAAAAAATTAATTAAAAATAAAATAACAACACCGGTCAACCACCGGTCAACGGCGGCGGAGGAGCAGCGGCGGCCGGCGACGACCGGCGGCGGTGACCGGAGGTGGCTGCCGGAGTCCGGAGACGGTGGCGACTGGCGACCGGCGACCAACGGCGGCGGTCAATGCTGGCGGTCAACAGTCAAAGTCCAGTTAGCACCCCTTTCTTTGATTTTATTTTTTGAAAAAAAAATTCAATGTGTTGAAAAAATATGGTGAGCTTTGCCTTAGAGTTTGATGAGCTTTGTAGTTGTCTTTGGTGAGCTTTGCAGTGGCGAGTGGTGAGCTTTGTGTCATCTGATTGAAGCATGTCATCTCACCGTAAGATGTCATCTTACTGGAGTCAATCCCTATATATATATATATATATATATATATATATATGGGTTGGTTCTTGTGAGAATGGTACTTGGTGAAAAAATAAGAATAAAGGATATGGATTGATCTAGTAAATCTAACGCCTCTCATTCATGCAAAAAGAAGTAATTGAGATTGGATACATTAAATGTGGCGTGCCATTTTAATGTTAGATGTAATAGAAAAGGGTAAATTAGGAATACAAACGACCTCATCATCCACATTTTTAGCCTAGTACACCGTATTATTTTTTCCAAATTAAATGACCTTATCATTTCAATTAAAGTGATTAATTGGCAAGGAAGGAATTTAATGTCGTGGTTTTTTTAAAGTGCCGTGCTCCACTTCATTTTCATAAAAATGATGAAGATTATTATTAATGTTATTATTGTTGTTGTTGTTATTACTATTATTATTATGTTCGAAGGTTTATTTAATTTTAATTAATTATTGTAATACACTTTATTCTATATTGAATATTTTGAACACAAGTCTCTTTTTTAAAATATTGTTGAAAATCTCTTGTATATATTTTGTCAATGACACCAATATGGAACACAAAATTTTAAAATAATAATCTTTTCATATTTCAAATTAAAAAAGTAAAATTTGAATACATACATTTCAAAATTTTTTAAAAATCTACCGTCTAGTTTACCTAATGACGTCAATTTCGAATGCATTGTGATGATTGATATATGCACTATGACTATGATTTGTTCTTAAAGATCTTATTTAAGTTTTATTCTTTTTATTTGTAGATTAGTGAATAATCAATCCTAAGTGATTTTGAATGTGATGAAAAAGTTTTAGAATGCGTTGTATTCAAAACAAGTGTTAAAGAAATTGGACAAATATTTTGCCTATGGGGGATTTGAACTCACACCCGTAGTACATGCTGCTCTACCATTTGAACTAAAAGGCAACAAAAAATCTTATAAAAAGAACCCCATCTTGCATTTGAGCTATTAAATATACATTTTAATTTATTAAAATTTACATCATACATGTTTCAAACTCACCCTCAAATGTATCACGTAACATTTGAAATGCATCATGATTTGCAATTTTTTTTACCTTTATTTTGAAAAATGCATAATAACAGAATGCATTATACTTTATCATTCTAAAAATGTAATATCTGCTCAAGGAAATGCATTACTTTGATCCTGATAATGCACAATACGTAACCCAATACAAATTTTGTTTATTAAGCTTTAACATTGATTTGAGAATGCATTTATCTGATCATCGAATGCATTGTCACTACTACAAAAAAAGGCAAAAAGACTGCTTCAATTGCATCGCTTAAATAAATAACCGATGCAAAAGATCAATGTTGATGCATAACTACAAGAAGCACGAGGAATGTTTACTCATGGTCTCACTTGCAGGTACAAAAACAGAAGCATAGATGTTTGATCCCTTACTTTCATCTCTTTTTTTCTAATTCATTTGATGTAGTGAACCTTGGACACTTTTGTATTTTATCTGATTTGTTTATTTCATATTTGTTGGATCTAATTTACAAAAAGCAAAGGTAAACTTAAATTGAATAGGTTGCTAGTACTTAAAATTTCCATTGGATCTCTACTACCTATTTTTACTTAGTATTGTTGGGTTTTTTCTTGATATATTTAGTTGCTTCTATAGTCTTACGGGTTATCAGGTACTCCTACCTAATTTTATCTTTTTAATTTCTTACTTAATTTTATCTTTTACTGACTTCTTCTTTGATGTCAGATTCTATTTCAGAATATGTTGCCTCAATGTAATCCTCAGTCTTGAGTATGACCAATCAACAATGTTGGCAAAGCCACAAAGTAGTTCCAGATTTGCTTTGCCCGGCCAACCATACTAGAGAAGTGTGATCAGTCTGATCTTCAGTGGTCTTGCGAAATTGACATAAGTCACTAAGTGTAAGCTAGTCTTCTTTAAATTCTTACGGAAATGTAGTATCTCTTTGTTTATTTTCCAAAGAAAAATCTAAATTTAGAGATATGTAGATTGCTCCAATTGTATTTGTTACTCAGTTGGATTGTTTTGTTTAAATTGTCTTTGCTATTCAGATTGCTCCAATTATATTTGTCACTCAATTGTGTGATGTTTGCTATCTGTTATTCGGTCATTGCCCATTTTTAAAAAATAAAACGTCAAAGGCATCGGTTGTATCTAAACAACCGATGCCAATACCCCCTTTTTATTAATATTAAAAAAACGAAATAGCAAAGACATCGGTTGGTTAGAAAAAACCGATGCTAATACTCTTTTTTTTAATTAATAAAATAGCAAAGGCACCGGTTGTTTAGAAACAACTGATGCTAATACTCTTTTTTTAATTAATAAAATAGCAAAGGCACCGGTTGTTTAGAAACAACCGATGCTAATACTCTTTTTTTTAAATTAATAAAATAGCAAAGACATCAGTTGTTTAGAAACAACCGATGCTAATACTTTTTTTTTAAATTAATAAAATAGCAAAGACATCGGTTGTTTCTAAAGCGATGCAATTGAATTGGACCAATTGCATCGCTTGTATTTGCATCGGTACAAAACCGATGCTAAAGGTACAAAACAACCGGTGCCTTTGCCCTTTTTTGTAGTAGTGTGTCTTGATTCTGAGAATGCATTTATCTCATTATAGAATGCAGTGTCTTGATTCTGAGAATGCAACATTAACATAACACAAAGCGTCAATCTGTGGATTATAATCTAAACAAGTGTTAACACAAAGTTAAGAAATAATTTAGTTATGCAAGTTTTGAACCCACATACATAGTACATACCATTTTACCATTTGATCTAATATAAACTAGAAACAAAGAGAAACTCAAAAAATCAAAGTAAAAACTCAAAGGTCATAGTGATGCGCACACTTGGAAACTTAGAAATAACATTTTTGAAACACTTAGAAATCAACACTTTGTGTTTATGCAACACTTGGGAATCATAGTAGAAAACCCCAAAGAGAAAACCATGCAGTAATGAACAATTTTTATGTTGCATCACAAACTTAGTATGTTGCATTTCCACAAATTTTCTGATAAATAATTTCATCGTGTTACAATGCATCTTATATTCTCTGAGATGCATAACAAAAGTGTATGTAATGCATTTAAACAAGACATAAACATCATGACTTTTAATTTCATAATTATGAATGTGAAAATCAATAATTTTATCTAGATCTATTCATCACGAATTGAAAACAAATTATGTTGAAATAACAAAAATACATAAAAATTAATAATTCGAAAAACTAAAAAGAAGAAAAACATATCTATAGGGGGGGGAGACAAACTTCCGGACAAGCTGCCCCCCTCGCCGCCGGATTCAGCCGATAAAATAACTGCCCCCATCACCGCCGGATTCAGCCGATAAAATCCCCTGTTCTCGTACATGATCGATATCTCAGAAAAAGAAACATCAGAGAAAGAACAGAAAGAGATGTGATCCTCGATATGTACTTTTTGATCGCATAGTATCCCTATGGAACAATACCAAATCTTGATATTATAAAAAGGGAAGAGAATCATAAATGGTGATATGCGCTGATTTAGTGGATCCCATTAATATAAAATGGGAGAGAGTGGCGATTGGAATGATAAGTTCCTAAAATGCCCAAGCCCAGTAGCGTATCTCAGTCTAGATCTGTGCAGATATAACGGTGATCAACCATTCTCATTTCTTTCATTATATATATATAGGGATTGCTCCAGTGAGATGACACCTTATGATAAGATGACATGCTTCAATAAGATGACACAACACGCAACACTGCCAATGGGAAGCTCACCAACTGCCAATGCAAAGCTCACCAACTGCCAATGCAAAGCTCACCAACTGTCAATGCAAAGCTCACTACTTTTTTTAAATAAAAAAGTTAAAAAATAACACCACCACTCAACCACCGGTCCACGGCAATAGTGGGGGTCATCGGTGGTGGCCATTGGTCATGGGCGGTTAAAGTGTAAAGCTCACCAACTATCAATGTAAAGCTCACCAACTGTCAATGGAAAGCTCACCAAGGAACAATACAAAGCTCACCACTTTTTTTTAATAAAAAAAGCTAATAAAGCAAAGCTCACCACACTACACTACAAAGCTTACCAATGGACAATGCAAAGCTCACCTGGAAATCAAGCAAAGCTCACCACTTTGAACCCCAAAAGCCACCTTTTTTTTAAATTTTAAAAATTTAAAAATTAATTAAAAATAAAATAACAACACCGGTCAACCACCGGTCTAGGGCGGCGGAGCAGCAGTGGCAGCTGGAGTCCGACGACGGCGACCGGCGGCTGTGACCGGATTCCGGCGACCGGCGACTGGTAGCGTCGACGACGACCGGCGGCCGGTGGCAGGCGGCGGTCAATGCTAGCAGTCAACAGTCAAAGTCCAGTCAGCACCCTTTCCTTTGATTTTTTTTGGAAAAAAATTCAAAGTGTTGAAAAAATATGGTGAGCTTTTCCTTACACTTTGGTGAGCTTTGTAGTTGTCTTTGGTGAGCTTTGCAGTGATCAGTGGTGAGCTTTGCGTCATCTGACCGAAGCATGTCATCTCACCGTAAGGTGTCATTTCACTGGAGTCAAAACACACACACACACACACACAGATTCCACTGAGATGACACCTTACGGTGAGATGATGTGCTTCGGTAAGATGACGCAAAGCTCACCACATTACACTGCAAAGCTCACTAATGACCAATGTAAAGCTCACCTGGAAATAAAGCAAAGCTCAACACTTTGAACACCAAAACTCACTTTTTTTAATTTTGAAAATAAAAAAAATAATTAAAAATAAAATAGCAACACCTGTTAACTACCGGTCAGCAGCGGCGGCACGGCGGAGACTGGCTGCTGTTGAGTCCAAAATATTCACTAATTATTCTCTATTAAATCAGTATTTTCGGGAATTAAAAAGTACATTTTTACACTTAAATGATCATATTTGCATCCTAGGTATTATTCACAAAATATATTCATAATACACATTTTTAGAGTATATTTAAAATGTTATTTCGTTGGATCCAATATTTTCCTTGACAAGCTGTTTATATATGTTGTTGGAGCTGAAAAACATGGGCTGAAGATTTTGCAATGGGCCTCCGCAACAATTTAGAAGAAAAGAAGAAATAAGGTTGTTTTTGGGCTGTACTTTCAATTACCTGAACCGTCTTATGACTCTCAAGAACGCAAATCAGAGAGAGAAAGAGGCTTGTGAGAGAGTAGCCGAAGACTCCTACTCCTTCTCAATTCAATTCCAGCTGTGTAACACCCTATTAATCGTAGCAAGAAAATAGCTTCAAGAATCCCAATCCAAGAAGGAAGAGATGAACCTGGCGCCTATAAAGCGAGGGGATGCGGCCAAGAACTTCACCACCATACATCAAGAGCATAATTAGAGCTTCAATACAAAGGGTATGAACCCTAGGGGGGTTTGGACCCAACATCCGAACCCCCTCTGTTCCTTTCTTTTTCATAGTTTTTTTATAATTTTAGTGTTGGATCAATTTCCATTAGTTAACAATTTTTCTTATTCGGAGTCGATTTCATTTGTTAAGAATTTGGACCAGTTACTCCGCTTTGGTATTTGAATTAAGGCTTTGGTGTTTATGCCCAACTTTGATTAAAGTTTTCGTTGATTCTATATACTGCCCAGTTTTGTTCTTGACCTGTTGATGTATCTTTATGATTACATATCTTTGGAAGAAATGAATGGCTATCAATTGGGTCTGCAAGTGGACTTAGTTAGTGGGACAATTCTAGATCATGTCTTGAACTCACTGGACGAAAAATTTGCTCCTTCAAATTGGTCAACTTGTGCACTAATTTTTTGGGTTAAGATTTGGATGCAAGGTCTTGAATTCAGAATGGGTATATTTTGGTGTTTTGTTCACTTGTTTTCCAGGTTTAGGATTGGATTTAAGTTTGTTTTGGAAACCAGATTATTTTCTTAATTTCTAAACTCTCTTTTTACATAAACTAAGTTTGTCTATGAGCTTATAGTTTATAAAATTGGTTTTGTAATCTGTAAATAAATCAAGCTCTTTTGCTACTATTAAATTAATTCAATGGTGTTCTGAGAACTGTGCTTTGTTTATGCTTGAATTGGATCAAATTAGGAGTGCACGCCTAACCCAATTTAAATTGATATTCTCTTAAAGTCCAAAGTGCTTCAAATAGCCCAACTTTTCTAGAAACTAAGTGTCACTTGATTAGTACTAGGCTGCCTCATTAAGTAGGTTTTTGCTAATCAAGGTTTTTGAACTGATTTTGTTAAATAACCTTCGTGTTACTGCAAAATTGTTACGGTGATGTTTTCCAAAGGTTTTAATGCGCTATTTTTAGTAGTAATCTACGGGTTGGTCTTTGGGTTGCTAAGGATAGTAGGGTTTAGAGTTGGGGTTGGTCTTAACATGAGCTTTTATGAATGGGAAAATAGGGAAGAACCGTTGGTGGACCTCTTCTTCAGCCTAACCCATGTTTTGATTTATAGTTGGTTGATGATTATGCTTATTTTTATCAAATATTAGACCTGGATATTTATTTTCTATATTTTATAAAACTCTATTACTTTTTCTAAAATTGTTTAAGTCTTTAAAATATTGTGCTACGTGGTCTTGTTTGTGTTTTTCTTCTTTGTTTGGGCTTTTGGTGGAGTTATGTTCTGTTTTTATCCTTAGTTTGTTGCTTTCAAATATGATCTGATGTGGTGTGTCATTTAGAATAGTTGTTATTTTATCCTTTAAACTTTGTNTCGACTCTTAGTTGCCCTATCTATATGTTTTGATTCGTAAAGGGGATTTTAGTTAAGGAAAACAATAAATTAATTTGTAGGTGCTACGACACGCTTGACAAATTTTGGCGTCGTTCCCGGGGAAAGATTAACATTTTACTGAGAATTTGTTTACTTTTGTTTTCTAAAAAAACAGAAAAATCTTAAAGTTAAAACACAAAAGAAAGTCTTTTAATTTGTCTTATTTTAATAGCTCAGGGAACTTAATTTTTTTTCTTTCACTCTTTTATCAGTGTCTAGGTCAGTCCATAGGAGTATATTATCTTATTTTCATTAGGGTTTTCTTTAGTTTAAAGTCATTTAGTTAACTTCAAAGTTGGAGTTTGTTTTTTTCGTTTCTTACTGACAATTTTTTATGAGAAGGTATAGTTACGGGCAGTTTTTAACTTTAACATTTTACTTAACTTTCAAGCATTTTTGATCATATCGAGGATCAGGAAACTTAAACTTTTAAAGAGAAAATGATATGTGTCAAAAAGAGTTTCTAGTCCAAGTTTGATCAAAATGAGTTTGAACTTTTAACTAGTAACAATTAGAGACTTAAGATCATAACTGTCTGACTTCTTTCCTTTTAAGCATGTTAACACTTTGTTAAAACATGGTTGGACTTAACTAGTTAACTCTTTTTAAAACAAGTTCCAGTAGAGTAATATTGCAGCTTTTATGATTACTGGAACGTTAATTAATAACTGTTTACAGAGTTCAAGTGGTCTGGGCATACACCTCTTAAAAATTCAGCAAACAACAAAAATACTGATTGCATATAGAGCAATTTTTCTTAAGAGACATTGATAATCTGTCAAACATTCATGTTTTTTGCCATTTGCTCTTAGATTCTTATATCAAGTAAAAGAATTCTAATACTTGCTTTATCTTTGAGTTGCAGCTTATTGAATTTTTGCATGCACTTGAGGAGTGGAAGAGTACTTGGTGAGTTTGAATTAAAAAGTAAAAGCTGTGAGGTAAGTGTGGCTAAACCTACACCTTTAATTAGTGCTTGTGCTGTTGAATCTGAGGACGAACCTGCCAACTTTCTTGCTCCTGACTTGTTTGATTATTGTTCTAATAGCATCTTTGATAATCTGTTTGAAATAAAATCCGAACCAAAGATGACAACTTTAAGAGAATTGGCAGCCCCTAACCTAAATGTTCAACCGCTTTCCATCACATATGCTGAGCTAGAGAAACCTTTAAAGCTGAATTCTGGGTTTATAAATCTTTTGCCTAAGTTTCATGGTCTTCCTGGAGAGGATCCCTTCAGGCACATCTCTGAATTTCCGATTACTTGCGGTGCTATGGTGCCTGAAGGGGTTGCTCAAGACCAAATTAGGTTGAGGGCTTTCCCGTTTTCTTTAGCTGCTAAGGCAAAGGACTGGTTGTACTACATGCCAGCCGGTTCCTTTACTACTTGGAATGCCCTATATAAAGCTTTCTTAGAAAAGTACTTTCCAGCTTCTAGGATAGGTTCAATTAGGAAAGAAATATGTGGGATTAAACAAATGATTGGAGAGAACTTTTCTGAATATTGGGAAAGATTTAATAAGCTTTGTGCCTCCTGTCCTCAACACCAAATTTCTGAACAACTTTTAATTCAATATTTTTATGAAGGGCTACTTCCTACTGAGAGGGGCAATGTGGATGCTGCCAGTGGGGGTGCCTTGGTTAATAAAACACCTGAACAAGCTAGGGAATTGTTTAATTTGATAGCTCAAAGCACTCAACAGTTTGGTACGAGGGAAACTTTAGTGAAGAAAGTGAATGAAATTGGTAATTCTTCTATTGATAACAAACTCACTGAACTTACCAATGCCATTTCACAACTTACAACTGTGGGAGGGGTTAAAGGAAAACCTTGTGGGGTTTGTTGCTTGGAAGGACACCCTACTGATGCTTGTCCGACTTTGCAAAACCCTGAGGTAAATGCTGTTTTCTATAATAACAACCAAAGAAAATATGATCCTTTTTCTAATACTTACAATGAGGGATGGAGAGACCACCCAGATCTTAGGTACGGTAATGGTCAGAACTATCAGGCTCCTAGGGGTAATTTTCAGAATTTTAATAATCCCTCACAACAACCTCCTTTTGATAAGAATACTCAACTGTTGGAACAGATTCTTAAGAAAATGGATGACAAATTCTCTGGTTTTGATCAAACGCTTAAGCAATTACAAGAAAAACAGTCTGCCACTGAAGTTACAATAAGTAATTTGCAAGCCCAGCTCAATAATAGGTTTCCTTCTCAACCCTTTTTGAATCCTAAAGAAAATCTGAGTGCAATTGAGCTGCGTAACAAGAAAAAACTGCCTGAACCTAACCACGTCAGTAGGGAAGAAAAAGAGAAAGAACTTCATCCGACTCAAGTCTCTTTTGAAAATGAGTAAATTCCTTAATTGGTCCTTTATAACAGGGGGGTTTCCATATTTAGTCCTCTATTATCAAATATTACCCTCGTAGTCCTTTTTTAAGGGAGCCTTTCCACAAATGGTCCTTTTTTGATCTTCCGCCATGTGGGTATTAATTTAATGGTTAAAAATATAATTTGACATCAACATTATATCTAGTGACATGTTCTGATATTGATTAAGCGGATGACTCAAAAATAATGACTATTATTGTGGGCTAGGATTCCAACGGAAGAACACATTTGTAGACTATGGTTGTAGTAGAAAGCGAATGTAGTTCACAAAGGACGCAAATAAAACAACCTTTGGAATTGTGTATGACAAAACAATATATTATCATTGTGAAATTACACTTTTAGCCCTCAAATTAACACCAACATGATAGAAGATAAAAAAAAGACTATTTGTGGAAAGATATCCATAAAAGAAGGACCACTGGGGTAATAATTGATAATAGAGGACTAAATAGGGAAACCCCCTGTTATAAAGGACCAATTATGGAATTTACTCTTTGAAAATTAATGTTCTGATTTTGTTGAGAATGAAAGCAATAGGTCTGAAAAACAGAAAGAAAATGATTTTCAAAACAGAATAAATGATTTTAAGAATCAAAAAGCTCCTTTTCCCAGCAAGTTTTTGAGTCAACAACCTAAGACTAAGGAATTAGATCAAGAAATGTTTGATACATTTAAAAAAGTGGAAATAAATCTCCCTCTTTTAGAAGCAATCAGACAAGTTCCCAAATATGCCAAATTCCTTAAAGAACTTTGCACTCATAAGAATAAGCTATCTGGAAAGGTGTTGATGAATGAGAACGTAAGTGCTGTTTTTCAGAATAAATTACCCCAAAAATGTAAGGATCCTGGAGTTTTTACTGTTCCGTGTTAGATAGGGAGTTTAAAATTTGACAAGGCAATGTTAGACTTAGGTTCTTCAATAAATGTAATGCCCAAGGACATTTTTGAACAATCACAAATTGGGGACCTAAAGAGAACAGGGGTAGTGATTCAATTGGCTGATAGAAGTCATACTTACCCCGAGGGGATTTTAGAAGATGTCTTAGTGAGAGTTAACGACTTCATTTTTCCTGCTGATTTTTACATTCTTGATATGGGAGTTGATAAAACTGACATTCCCATTTTGTTGGGAAGACCGTTTTTGAAAACAGCCCGAGCTAAAATTGATGTTCATAGGGGTACTTTAACAATGGAATTTGATGGTGAGTTAATTAAATTTAGTCTTTCTGAAGCAATGAAACACCCTTATGAAGAAAATCAAGTCTTTGCTATGGATTTAATTGATGAAATCACTAAAGCAGTTTTCCAAAAATCACATGATGATGAACTTTTTACTGTTTTGATTGAAAGTTTAGACCCGGTTGAGATTGAAAGATTGAGTTTTTCAATATCTGATAATGTGAATTTTTATGCTGAAAATTTATCTTCTGTGGAAGAGGTAAAGACTGTTTTAAAACTGAATTTGGAGGTTCTTAAGACCAAACCGCTTCCTTCTTTGATCTCTCCACCGGAAATTGAACTTAAAGAGTTGCCTCTTCATCTTAAATATGCTTTTTTGGGTGAAAATGGATCACTTCCTGTGATCATATCGAACCTTTTAACTGAACCACAAGAATTAATGTTATTAAGAGTTTTAAAGGAGCATAGCGAGGCCATAGGTTGGACTTTAGCAGATATTAAAGGTCTTGACCCCACTCTATGTAGTCATAGGATAAGTTTAGAACCTGATGCTAAACCAAGGGTCGAAAATCAAAGAAGACTTAATCCTCCTATGATGGAGGTAGTTGAGAAAGAACTTTTAAAATCGATCTACCCCATAGCTAACTCTGAGTGGGTAAGTCCAATTCATGTAGTGCCAAAAAAAGGGGGTACCACTGTAGAAGTAAATGAACAAGGTGAATTGATTCCTGTTAGAAAACAAACTGGTTGGAGGGTGTGTATAGATTACAGGAAACTGAACAAAGCCACTAAAAAAGACCATTTTCCGTTACCTTTTCTTGACTCTTTAGTTGAAAGACTAGCTGGAAAATCTCATTACTGCTTTTTAGATGGTTATTCTGGTTATATTCAAGTGCCTGTTGCCCCGCAAGACCACGATAAAACCACTTTTACATGCCCTTTTGGCACATTTGCTTTTAAAAGAATGCCTTTTGGTTTGTGTAATGCACCAGCAACTTTTCAAAGATGCATGATGAGCATAGTTTCTGATTATTCAGCTAAAATAATGGAGGTTTTTATGGATGACTTTTCAGTATATGGAAATAATTTTGAAGAATGCTTGCATAATCTGACTTTGGTTTTAAAAAGATGCATTGAGTCAAAATTGGTTTTAAATTTTGAAAAGTGTCATTTTATGGTTGAAAGAGGAGTAGTTTTGGGACATATTGTTTCTTCAAAAGGAATGGAAGTTGACCCAGCCAAAGTGGGACATATTGATACCCTCTCTTTGACCATCAAGCTATTAAAAACGTTCTCCATAAAGGGTTTATCTTCATCTCAAAAAAGCATACTCCAACCCACTTCATTTTTTTCTGGTTTGTTTATTATATTTACGGAGTATAAGATATGGTGACGCCTACAACTATCAACTAACATACATGTGCAAAAATAGTAGTTCACATTACTCATAAAATGTATGATGATTCCTCGCCCGAACGTAGTACTTCATTCAAAGCTTGGGAAATGAGTCTTTTCATCATGTTTTTTTCAATATCCCTGCTGTGAGTATCAAAGAGGCCAACTCATACACCATATATGTTCACAAATGTAGTTAATTATTATTAATTCATCCACGGAATAATTAAGAAGACAATGAATTAAGTAAACATGTCTTCGCATAACTCTGGAAGCCAATATTTAAACATATTCACATATTTTCATAAATATTCAATCTCCAACATTTAAGCATATTCACGTGTTAATATTGTATGTTGGGTAAAAATAGAATCGAATCCAGGTATTTTAGTCAATGGGGTCTAAATTAAACTAACCAAAATAGTATTTCTCAAAGAACAATCAGAGTATGATTTTTAAAGTTATAGATAAAAAACTTCTCCTATCCCACAAATAGTGTGTGTGAATGTCAATAATAATTTGTAAACCAACAATTACCTTATCAAAATATTTAATCAGGTTGATGGAAGTGTATTTCACAATGTCAAAAGCTCTTAAATGTGACATCCACCTTCATCAAAGGATGTGAAAAGGTCTCATCATCATTCTTAATTAGAAGGCTTGCAAACAAAAGGATGTTTCGATTTTGAAGTGCTCATGCATCCATTCTACAACTCCTTGTTGCTAATTATTTTTCCATATATACTCTCATCTAATAAGAACAAACATACAAATATCACTGAACATAAATTACCTAGATGGAAGAGTATCACATAGGTTTTAGCTCGTCACAATGAAATTCAATTCAATACCTAAAGGCTAAACAGATGCTCAAGCCACCACTACATTGAGCTGTCTCCAGAAGCAGAGCCCAGATTGTCCCTGGGATAAACCCTAGGTCGGATGAGTGGTTTTATATTTAATTAAGAATGTTCTTAAACCCTAGGTCGGATGAGCCCAGATCTCACTCGGAGCTTTGCATTTTCTAGGTTCACTCGGTGACCTTTTCACTCTCTCACGATCAAAATTTTAATCAATGCATGCTCTTTATTAATCTTATATTCGCGTGTTCCCTATGCTTGATCAAGCCCACTGATTAATCGGCACAGGTGCATCAACGGTGGATACGACTCCTTACACTTGGGTGGGAGAAGGCTTAATTTATTTTCTTTTTCTTTTTTTCTCTTCCATTTCATTTGCTTTTGTAGATAGTATAGATATAGATTTTGGTAGTGTAAATTATATTTGGAGCATGCTACATGTACCCCAAAATTTGTATTTTATTTTTACACCAAAGATATGCACCAACATTTTGAATGTTCATACTGAATGGGATACAAATCCTTGGGGTACAAATAACATAAAGTGTTGGTGCTTTAACAAAAATTTACACTAACATAAAGTGTTGGTGCGTTAACAAAAATTAGCATTACACCAATACAAAATGTTAGTGCATCCCTGTGGTGTACAAAATGGGATACAAATCCTTGGGGTACAAATAACTTTATCCATTATATTTTACACTATCAACAATTTTTACACATTAACTTTTTTATATTCAATCCAATCATATTCTTATGATATTGTAAATTACCACTCGAACAAAGTACTCTAGATCGGGTCTAGAATGCTTCGTTGAGTTTAGAAACTAAAAGGACAAAGTAAACAAGAGTTGACTTGGAGGATTGTAGCTTAGGTGAGAATAGTCCAATTGTTATTAAGTATGTGAAGAGTACATGGAAATACTACATAATATGTGTTTGGAGAGATGAAATTCGATCTCCTCTTCTGAGAGTTACAAGTGTATTTATAGTGTAGCTAAGTGTTTTCAAAAAAATAGTGTAGCTAAGTGACAGACGGGTGTTCAAGATTGTTCACGTGACAAAATGATGACTCTTTATCTTGTAGTGTTCGGACGCCAACAACCAACGCCGATAACCGAATGCCGAATGCCAGTTTCTGAAAATCGAATGCCGGTTTCTGAAAGCTGAACGCCGGATGGATTGGTTTTTGGTTTGGGTGAACACCAAGTGTTTTTAATGTTTTAAACATGTTTGAAAAAAATTTTTATGATATGAGAAATGCAATAAGAGATTTTCATCCTAAAGAGCCAAGGCGTGAAGGTTGGGTCGGTCTCGATCACAATTATGACCGACTCAACGACACTAAGACTACGGTCTTCGTTCTTCACCTTGTATATTCAATGTTTTGTTTTGTTCACAGCGGTTTGGCATTATCAAAACCTGTCATAAAAACGAACACGGCTTTAGTACGAAAACGTGATAAACCCGTGTTTCAACAATTTCCCCCTTTTTGATAATGGCAAACAAGACGAGGTTATGCATAGGAGGATTGTTTTAAAAAAATGTTCCCCCTTAATAAATGCAATTTTATTTTCAACAAAGTATATGTGTTGAATAAGAGTTTGTTTTTATATTTTAAACAATTTGTGCCTTTAGAAAAAAAATGTTCCCCCTCAATCTATGCATAACCCCTGATATCTTCCTCCTTTTGACATTAACAAAAAGAATTAAAAGTAAACTTTTATTCATTAAAAGGGAAATGCGGAATACAACGGAATAGAAATAAAAACCAATACAATCATATTAAAGGGAAATAAAAAAGAGGAAGAGTCTAGGAGTCGGCGTCCTCGTCATCATGCTCGTCGTCCTCGACGTCCATGGGATCACCATCGACCGCGTCTACAAAGTCGGCCTCTTTGGGAGAGGAGGACGGAGCATATGAGTCATCGTCTTCATCCTCGCCTTCAAAGTTTTGGCCGAGGATGGTGCTGTCGAAAGGCGGCGGGACGTAGTTGATGCCTCAGAAGAACGCCGTCATGTCATGATGCTGGCGTTGCAACGTCTAGTCCATCCGCTCTATGTTCTGCCCCATGCCGTCCACGGTGAGGGTTAGCCGATTCAGGGTGTCGGCTATGGACTACAAAGAGGCCCAGGCGGGAGAGGGAGCAGGGGCAGGGGCACGCCTCGATCCGGCACCGTCTCGGTTTCCCGACTTCTTTTTGAAGGTGTTTTCGGCAATGACTTAGAGCTTCGTCATCTTCGTGCTTGGCCCGGCAATGTGGATGTCGGTGGAGATGATAAGGTCCATGACGAGGAAGGCGTGACCAAGAGCTTCGTCATCTTCGTGCTCCAAGATCCTCTTGCCTACCTGCCTATAGCAAAGGAAAACAATGATATACGCTCAACAAAAGCTGAGTGGTAATCTAACAGTAGAACGCATAGTACATCCACATTGATATAAACATAATTGTACCTATACTAAAGTACAAGATACCACATTCAAGTTTGATAAACAAAAGTTTGCTAATAAACAATGATGCAATGCCAAATAATCATGATGCATGGGTTAGACTGCGCAGGGACCCCCTGCCCTTCGGTGATCATCCCCATGCGGTAGATGAGCCGAGGAATGCCTTAGTCTTCCCGATGGAGACTAAAAATGTGGGTGATAGCTGAAGCCTAGCTACCATGTACATACACAAGCCCAGTGATGAAAACCCATTGGATCCCACAGGTTCCTGGACGGCCCGCGGAAGAAGCGCATTAGGCATGACCTCTTGTCGCGGTATGCAAAGTATGTCATGATCCTACACATGCGTCTAGGATATACATGATGATATAAATGCATTGGTTGAAGAATGAAGTTATGTTCAACGCATACAAATATGTTTGGTTCCATATGAAAACAACTTGTTCAACATGGCGGACCTGGGTTCAGAACTAGCTGATAATCGATTAACCACTGTTGATAATCGATTATCCTTTTGTGCAGCTTTTGTTCCCAAGTTCCGCGGGCCATGATAGTCGACTGTCACCTCATGACAATCGATTGTCAGGTGGTTTTGTCCAGGAAACCGAAGTTTAGAGAGGCCTGATAATCGATTATTGCTTTTGCGATAATCGATTATCAGATGAATCGGCTCAGACTCAGGAATCCGCAGGGCCTGATAGTCAATTATCACATATGTGATAATCGATTGTCATGCCTTGTTGATTCTAATGAGAAGTTCAGCGCAACCTGATAATCGATTGTCTAGTCCTGTAACTCGATTATCAGGGCACGGAGCTCCTCACATTGTCTGTTCGATTATAGCCATTATGTTGAGAGGTTTCAGAGTGAATGTTTATGTTTTCAGATTAAATAAGCTTTGAAATTATGGATTAGCTATGATATTAACAAGTTTATATTTGAAAAGTCTAGATAATGATTAACCATGATAATGCGGACACACGTATGTTTAGCCGGGTAATCCTATGGATATAATGATATGATTGAACTACGAATTCTGAAGTTAGGGGGAAACGTACTCACCTCTAAACTAAGGGGTTGACGGAAAATAACAGGATGAACGAACAGATGGCAACGACGAACGACAAACGACGAATGGTTTCTCATGGACACCTCCTTCTCTTCTTCCTCCTTGTCTGCTCGCCGGAACCGTCTCCCTGGGCTGCTGCTGTTTGGCCGAACAAGAGAAGGGAGAATGGAGTTGAGTGTGTGAGTGGGGGTTACAAAATGTGATGGGAAAGTGAAGGGAGAAGGGGGGAGGTTTAAATGGAGGACATGAATGGGGAACTAATGGGTTACTAATGGAGAATTAAAGGGAGAGGAGTTATGGGAGATGAAGTGGCGTGGAAGGGGTTTAATTGGGGAGTAACCTCCCTAAATCTCATTCCATTGTGTAACCTGAACGGTATGTGTTTTTTCACCCGAACTTGTCCGAATTGAAAATCGATTGCATTTTCGAGAATAACCAGTCAAAACTAAATTTATGACATCTTTAAAATATTTTTCCAAAAACTTTATTTTCAAACTTCCGGATTCAACCCAAACATTAATTTATTTATTTACTTAATCAATGTCGAGAGACCCGTTATTAAAACATCTTTTATAATTAAAATACATTAACTTTTGGAATCATTTAAAGAGATCAAAATCTCAATATTTATTAATTTAAAATAATGAGTCTCAATAAATAAATAATATTTATTTATTTAAAATATTGGCTAGCTGTTAGTCCTGTTGGGCCGGTTTGTAGGGTGTTACACAAAATCCTTCTGTAACACTCTAGAAACTGGTCTAGAAGTTAATCAATAATTAAATAAATAGAAATTAAAAAAATGCTTTAGAGACTCTAATTGTCTCAGTATAACGAGACTAATCTGATATATTTATAAAGATTTAAATTCAATGACTTAATCATACTACTTAATCGAAAAAAATAAGACGCATCAGGTGGAACTTATAAATGTTTTTCGTTTGATTATAAAAGTCATATCAATGCGTCTCCGTCTCCTCACAAAATTATAATATTAAAAACTATAAATATAGTTTTATAAATTTGAAAGAAAACATTTTAGATTATTTACAATTATTTAGCAGAATATAATGGAAATAAAGTGTTTAATAAATGTTAAAGAAATCAACATAAATAAGAATAATACATAAAAAAGAGATCATTTTTTGATACTTTCTTTATATTTTACTCCTATTTAGGGTGATTATTTCATGTTTATTAAATATTTTATTTACGTGACATTTTTTTAAATAATTGTAAATAATTTAAAATGTTTACTTTCAAATTTATAATATTATATTTATAGGTTTTAGTATTATATTGTCATCCTATAAAATATAAAATATATTTTTATACTTAGTGTATTTTTATTTCGAAAATGGACTAATTTAAGAAAATACCCAGTTAGAAAGTACCATTTTATAATTTTTTTGTTTGATGTCAATTTTTCAGAGAAGTATTATGTTTATAATCTAATAGTGCAATATACAGAGTATATTGCCAAAAAGGAAAAAAACAATAAAAAAATCATTCATATAAACTTATGTTTATGACAAGAATTTTATGCAATTATAAGTGATATGCTAAAATTGTTATTACCATTTTTCTCTGACGTGTTAAAAAATTACTGACCGATTTTTTTCTTTTCAAAAAATAAATATGTAGATCAAATAGGTCAATGGAATATTCATTTAATCGAACTAAACAATTACTCCCTCCGTCCTAAAACCATCTTTCCACTTCCCTTTTTTCTCCGTCCTAAAACTATCTTCCCACTTCTTAAAAAAGAATATGAATTGACTATCTTACCCCTCTCTCAATTATCTCAACCTCCTCCTTCTCTCTTCCGTCTCTCTTCTCCCTCCCCCTCAAAATGTAGATCTAATCTTCTTCCGTCTCTCTCAACCTCCTGACTTCTCTCTTCTGTCTCTCTTCTCCCTCCTCTGTCTCTCAAAATGTAGATCTCATTTTTGCTCCACCATCGCCTATTAGACCGCTCAGAGCAGGTAAGCCACCGTCGACCTTTCTTTGTCTAAACCCTAGATATATGTCTCCCCCTTTCTCTGTTTGTCCTTCTTGACCTTTCTCCGTCTCTCCTTCTCTCGCTCTCTCTGCAACTTCCCTCTCCCACAAAATCCTAGATCTATTCTTCACGCCCTTCATATGGATTTCGCTGGAGAGGAGATTCACAGAAAGATCCAAACTTTCGGGAGAAGTGGTGTTTCCTACTTCATATGGGATGAATCCATCAAGAAGATAACCAAACATGAAGATTGAAGTTAGTTTTATTGGATTTCCAACCTCATTTGAAATGGGACGGGTGAGATTTGCCCTAGAAATGTCTAAATCTTCCTCAAATTACCAAATTACTACGGGATAATTCCTTTTATTTCCATTATCTCCGATGGAGCCAAAATTTCACCATTTTTTGGCTTTGGGTGTGATGGAATAAATCAAAATGGATCTCTAAACTGACTGCACTTCTTTAATTAATGAAGTAGCAGTTAGTCCAGCAATGCAACTTTCGACGTTGAGCCGGGAGTCTCTTTGGAAACAACCTCTCTACTTTCTCTACTTTCGAGTAGGGGCAAGGTCTGAGTACACACACCCTCCCTAGACCCCACTCTTGTGGGATTTAACTGGGTTGTTGTTATACCACGGGATAATTCCTTCGTATGAGTTGTATCCTATTTCCATGTGGGTTAAAGATTTGAGCTTTCCCAGTATCAATGGGAATTTTTCAGCGAGAGAGATTCTCCAGTTAGTCGTACTCAGAAGTCGGAAGGGAATGAAATGCCTTAGTTTTTATTTCAAAGTTTTAATGGAGGGGCAAAATTGGAAGTCAAAGCAAAATTAACTAATCCCTTAAAAATGGCCTAAAGTCAAATCAGGAAGGTTGATTTAGGACGGAGGGAGTAATATTTTTTGTAATATGCTTTAATAAAATATTTATTATTATTTGCAGAAGGGATATTACTGGATAAATTCTAATCTGATCTGATTGTAGTTATATTTAAAAATATTTTTGATCTGGTCTGATATGATCTGGTCTTCTTCCAATAAGAATGAGTAATAAGTAAAAAAAATAAATGGGGGGAGGGGAACATGGTTTCAAATGCAAGATATGCAAGAAGGGTTACTCTGATGGAGTGTATAGGTTAAATGATATATACTACCTCCGTCCCATTGTCTTTGTCCAGTTTTGACTTTTGGAACTGTTCATCTAAGCACTTTGACTCATCAAATTTTCTCAATGTGTAAGCCTAAAAATAGGCATGTGTGATCTTGTTTGATTCGTCTTAACATATATAATTTTTATAATTTTTTAATATACAAATTACAAGATAAAATGGATTAAAGAAGTGCATTGGATGGTGTGCCAAACGGTAAGTGGACAAAGACAGTGGGACGGAGGGAGTATATATATATATATATATATATATATATATATATATATATATATATATATATATATATATATATATATATATATATATATATATTGATGACAATCTGTTACTGGGCTTTATTTGTTGGACAATCTGGAAACTCTACAACAAGTGCCTCTATGACAATGGCAGACCATTGTTGAACTCACTAGTCCTCTCCATAAACAAGCTGGCTCAAGGATGGTTTTGGACAAACAATATCAATACAACTTTCCTTTTTAAATCTAATGTCCTTAGCTTGGGTTTACTCCCCTTTCAAGGATCTAGGTAACATGTGGTCCTAGATTCCTTTTCTTTGTAATCCTTGGTTTTTTTCTCCTATTATCTTAATAAAAGTCCCCTTTTAATTAAAAAAAATATATATTGATGGATACCTGGGAATGGGGGTATCCAGCCCAACAGGAAGACGGCCCAGCCCAACTTCGCTAAGGCCCACTTGGAGGGACCAAGGGAAAGGACCAGGAAAGACCACCTCGGCAGCGGTGCGCACTCGGCCACGGCAGGGTCGGTCATCCTCAGACCACCCCCGGCCAGCCTTCCGCCCAGAGGCTTCCGAAGACAGGTCATGCGCCCGGCCTCAGCCCTGGGCGCGGCAGACCAGACCTGGACAAGGGAGGTGACTGGAGTCAAGATCAAGGGGCCCACGATTAGACTCCTGTCATGCCTCTGGCAGAGTTGCTATAGCCACCCTACTTGTAACCTACGTTTGTATAGCAGTCCTAGGGTTAATAATGTGGTTGGACGCCGCCAGTGAACAACCCAATCTTAGTGGGCCCAGACCGTTGGACTATGGATCAACGGTCGGAACCCTAGCTGTAATCTGCATATAAACCCCTTCCCTTCTAGAGGAGAGGGGACTTACGTTCTGAGTTGCATTCTAACTATCACAATATCACTTTCAGTCTACTTGACCCCAGATTTTGTGCACTCTCGACTTGGTTCGACACTCTTCCGCCTAGTTGCTTAGGCCCCCGGGTTCCATAACCCAACATTGGTGCCCTCATTGAGAGGGTCGAACACATAAAGCGTGCTCCAAGAAAATGGTTGCGTCAAGAAGAGTGACTAGGTCGTCTACCACCAACGCCGGTGGTGGTCTCAGGATGACTGTCACAGCGCCGATCGGCGCGGGTCATGACGAGTTGGACGTCAGCCTCAACGACGTCGCCAGCCAAAACACCACTGATCTACGCCACCGCATTCCCAGGCGGAGAACGACGAACGCTGGGGGGTCTCAAGCACCAACCTAGCAGGTGCCCGCCCAGGGCGCCGGCGTTCTGACTCAACCTTCTCCCAACGGGCTCATGTGTGGGGGAGGCATGGTGCTGCCCGGTGATTTCAACTCACCATTTTTCCAATTCGGGGAGACCTCCGGTGCGAGGACCCCAGGTCCAGACCCTAGCGGTTTTTGGGTCGTGATGCGGGCGATGATGCTCAATCAGCCCGTGACCGGTTTTCACATGCCGGTCACGATGCCGCAGCCGACGTTCCAGCCTGACAAACGTCGTGAAGTCTAGCAGAATGTGGTGGAAAGCGTAGAGCTTTTCGCCCAACATCTGAAGAACCTGATGACGGACTCCCGCGTGAACCCTTCGGCGGGAGGACCCGAGAATAAGGAATTGAGCCGCTCCCAGCAGCGGGATAACGGCAGGGCCCCGGAGCGTAGGGCCAACAAGAAGCAGACTAGCCGTCGAGACAAGGATACGGCAAGCAAGCGCCATGAACCCGTGAAGGAAGGACAAGGCGAGTGAGTCGCACGTGTTCATGTTCAGCCGGATGCGAGTGCCGGTCACGGAACGGTTGCATGGCCGACACAGAGAGATCCATCCGGAAAGGTCGAATTCCCGGGTCAAGCAGCCCGTCCAACATCCGATTTTGAGAGCGCCGCAGGGGACGCCCAACGCGGTGGACATGGGCGTAGGCAGGACCGGAGACAAGTGCCTCGATTTTCTCTTACGAAGGCTTGACGCCTTAGAAAAAAGAAGAGGACCAGGGCATGTGACCGAACCTATGTTCAGACTCTGTTCTCCTTTCTCGGAGAGGATTCTCAGGGCACCTCTGCCAAATAGCTTTCAAATGCCGCCAATTCCGAGGTATGACGGAACTGCCGACCCACAGGAGCATTTCAATCGATACCAAACCCTCATGAACGTGGTAACGTTCTCCGAGGAGGTCCTCTGCAGATCGTTTGCCGCCACTCTCGACGGACTAGCATCCGAGTGCTTCAATGAGCTGCCTGAGGGGAAGATTGATTCTTGGGAAGATTTGGCGCGGAGGTTCCTAGTGCACTTCACCGGCAACAGGAAGAAGCTGCATTTTTCACACCTCCTGTCGGTCAGACAGAGGCCTGACGAGCCATTGAGGGAATTCCTGGCGAGGTGGAAGCTGGAGACCACCAGAGTTTACGGGGCAGATGACAAAACCAGGTTGTCCACCTTTCATCTGGTCCTACGATCAGGTGACTTCTCCAAGCGCTTGGCCTTGGAGAAGCCAAGGGAGTATGCCATCGCGCTGGCCATGGTAGAGGATGAGGCCGAACCAGAAGAGTTGGAGGCAAACAAGAAGAAGGAAGAGGCAGGAAGGCTGGGGCCCATTTTGACGGCGGCAAAGCCTATGACAAGGAAGGTCACTATTGATGAGCAGCCGCACTTGCCAGCTGGACACCGTTTTCGAAAGGGCAGAGATCCGCGTGATCGGCGGTCTTTCGGAAAAGACGTGTACGAAGAAGGGGCCGAGGATAGAAAACCCAATCCCCCAGGGGTCCCAAGCTGTTATTTCCGGATGAGCTTACACCCCTTACACACCCCGTCAGCGCCATCCTAGATTTCGCCGAGCATCAAGGCTTGGTGGAATATGACCCGAGATTCCCCCCGATTGGCCCTGTCGGTGAGTGTCCTTATTGCAGGTTTCACAGAGCAGCCGGCCATGACACGGACGCTTGTAAGGTCCTCAAGAGGGATATCGAGAACTTGATCCAGGCCGGGTACCTGAGGCAATTCGTCAAGAAGAAGAACACCTGGCGCAAGGACGATGGAAAGAAAACCGGGGATAACCGAGGGAAGAAACCAGCGGGGACCCAGCTGAAGAAGAGGAAGGAGATAGGCCTTCCGAGTGATGAGGAAGAAGAAACTAACCCTAGACAGAAGAGGGTTGAAGAGAGCCGAATGATCTACGGTGGTAACACCAGAGGAGATAGTGCCGAGCAGAGGAAGAAGTGGGTGCACTCGGCTTACGTCGGGGACGTTTGCAGCGCATCTGGACCGTCGAAGATCACGAAAACAGAAACCCTCCTTTTCGGTCCCAAGGACTTACCTGAGATTCCATCCCTGCACTGAAACGCCCTGGTCGTCAAGTGCGAGATCAACGAGGTGGTAATTCACCGATCCTACGTTGATAATGGGAGCTCGGTCAACATCATGTATGTGAAGATGTTTGAAGAGTTGGGATTGAAAAAAGAACTCTTGAAGAGAGTAAGGACCCCCTTGTCCGAGTTCACAGGAGACATCATCGATTCAGAGGGCCTAATCGAGGTGATGGTCACCTTCGGTGATGGAGAGCACAAGAGGACCATCCCGGTCGAATTCATGGTGGTGCGGCTCCTTGGATCCCACAACCTGATTCTTGGCCGACCTGCACTGGAAGACCTCGATTCCGTATCGTCTGTGAAATACCTGTGCATGAAGTTCCCGATTGATTCGGGAGTGGGAGTGTGCAGAGGAAACTAGAAGCTCGCCCGGCTCTGCTACCAAAAGCAGACAAAGAAGATGGATGCCCAGGATCTGAGGGTAGACAGCATTGCCACGACACTATTGAAGGAGGAAGAAGGACGTCCTCGGACTGAGCCTGTCGAGGAAACAGAAGATGTGGTGATAATGGAGGAGCAGCAGGAAAAGAAGATCAAGCTTGGTATCAACATCAATGCCGAGCTTCGGTCAAGAATCATTCAGGTACTCAGGGAGAACTTCGTGGTGTTCGCATGGAGTGTCGAGGACATGCCCGGAGTCAGTAAGTCTCTAATCACCCACCGCCTCGCGGCGGTGGGAGGGGAGGCGGAACCCAATACTCTCTTGAGTGATGTCATCAGCATGTCCTCCACTGCCACATTCAAGACATGCGATGACCAGTTCCAGGACTAACTTGTAATCATTCTTCAAATCTGATTTCTTCACTGGGCCGAGGGGATTTGCCCAGAAATCCCAATAGTCTTCCAATCCAGATTCTTGGCCGGAAGTCTCCCAATTTCACTTCCAGTATTGGGAAGATGAAGCTTCTTCTGCAATTTCTTCTGTGAAATTTTCACTTTGGCCCCTCCAACAGTGGACTTGATAATTTGAATCGTCCTCTGTGGATTCTTCTTCGATTGGACAGTCTTGACCTTTCCGTTCTTGTAGAATTCAAGAACTTCGTTCTCATACTTGAATCGAATCTCCATATGAAGGAATTCGGAGAGTTCTTGAGCAGCAATCATCTCCAGATAGGTCTGATAGAACGCCGGTGAAGAGCACTTGCCTTCCAACTTCTGGAAATGGACATTTGCGCCAACAATCTTCATTTTCTCTGAATTTGAGTGAAAGAATCTGAAGAAATTGTTGGACAATGTGCTATCATGAATATATATTTTTGCAATGTCTTTTGCCCATTGTCTTTTAGGTTTTGATAATGACAAAAGGGTGACAAAACATCATCATTATTTTGTGCATCAAGGCTAAGAATCAAAGCTACAACAAGTTCATATCCGGTCCGTGAAGAAGGGATTTGAGCATCGGTGGAAGGAACGAGACCGAAGAGGTTGTTTCCTTAGTTGGGTAGTGTTTTAGGTCTTAGATTTTGTGTTAAAGAGTATGGCATCTCTAAGGTTCATTCCCTTATCATCCTACCTTTAAAACACATTTTTTTAGCAAACTATTCGAATAGGTTGCAAACTATTCGAATAAATCCCTGAACTTCTATTCTGACTTAGTTGAATAAATCCAGAACTAGTTGAATAAGTCAAATTGCAGTTTCACCAAAACTAGTCGACTAAGTCTTGACTTAGTCGAATAGTTTGGCAGTTTCAACTCTTAAACGGCCATTTTTTTCAAATCTTTTGGTAGTTACTCCGTCCTATCCTTATTTAAACTACCCTATCTCGTGTTTTTGGCCAAGAATATACATTGAAAACACTTCAAAAACATATCCTTTGAATATCCAAAGAGATTCTACTTAATCCCCCCCTCTAGAGGTGTGTAAGTTGTTTAACAATTGGTATCAGGGCAAGGGTTTTTCAAAGCTTTACCGCTGAAAATTTAAAAAGATCATGGCCGGAAGAACATTTCCACCCGGAGTTGCCGAAGGACAATCCACGACAAGGCCACCACTCTTCGACGGCTCAAATTATGCTTATTGGAAAGAGAGGATGAGAATATTCATCCAATCAAATGATTATGATTCTTGGCTAGTGATCAAGCATGGAGAGACGGTTCCCACGAAGATTGTTGACGGGGTTCTTGTTCCAAAGTTAGAGACCGAATATACCTCAAATAACAAGAAGAAAATGCAACTAAATGCAAGGGCCATCAACTTTCTATATTGTGCCGTGAACCCGGATGACCATCGGAAAATTTCAAGGTGCAAGACGGCCAATGAGATGTGGAACAAATTAGAGGTCACATATGAAGGAACAAGTCAAGTGAAGGACTCAAAGATCGACTTACTCACCCATGAGTATGAGCTTTTCATGATGATGGAAAATGAAATAATAGATGGCATGTTCGAGAGATTTTCAACTATCGTCTCAAATTTGGAAACACTTGGGAAGCATTATGAGAATCATGTTCTCGTTCGAAAAATCCTTCGAAGTCTCACACCGGAGTGGAAGTCTACGGTCAATCCTATCAAAGAAGGCCAAGATTACAATACATTGACATATGACGCACTTCGAGGTAAACTACTCACTTATGAAATGTCTAACTTTTCTAGTGCAGCGGAGATCAAAAGGGATCAAAATCTATCATTCAAAGGAGTTGCACCCAAAGCTTCATCGTCAAAATATGTCGAGACAAGCGGCTCTGGAGAAAGTGACATTCTCGAGTTATTTAATGACTTCTTGCAAAATGAGCTTGAGCAATTGAATGAGAGTACAAAGCCTACTTGCTATGGATGTGGAGAGCGTGGACATATCAAGGGTCATTGCCCTAATCGAAAATTCAAGAAGTCCAAATGCCGAAAGCAATCCAACTCTAGCTCTTCTTCCTCATCCGATGATGAAGTAGCCATTTGTCTTATGGCTCAAAGTGAATCCGAAGAGGTAAGTTTTTCTAATGATCCTTTTAGTTTTGAAGAACTACAAGAAGCATTTGGTGATTTATTTAAAGAATTTAAAAAAGTCTCATCTATTGCCAAAGATTTCGAATATAAAATCACCCTTTTGCAAAAGAAAAATAATATTTTGCAAAAAGAAATTGATTCCCTCAAAATTGAAAATAAGACTTTTGAGGAGACTAATTTGAAAATAAATGATTCACCTTGTTCTTCATGTAAGTCTCCTAGTCTTGAGATAGAAGTGCTTAAGAAAGAGGTAGACGATTTGAAATTAGCGATGAAGAAAGTTGAAAATGAATTTAGACTAAAATCTACCTCTAGGATTAAATACTATAGATCACCTAGAAATAAACTAAGTCATTCTAGGAATTCTAATTTTGATAGACAACCTAGAAAGCGTATCACACGTCCTAGAAACATGAACAACCCTAGTGTTAGGTGTCATTATTGTAATAAAGTAGGACACATCACACCAGTTTGTTACACTAACTATAGGCACTTGCTTCTAAGTCAAGATAATGTGATGCATCGTTCATATGATTTTTATTATTGCCATAACACCCCTGGACCCAAAAGGCATTGGGTACCAAGATTTGCTTCGTAGATTCATTAAGGAAGGTGTGCTTGAACACTTAGACTTGAGTTGAAGTAGATGCACCAAGCACATAATTGGGTGAAGCATCAATTAAGGGGGAAGTTGATTCACTTTATTAATTCCAACTAATGTTGATTTATATTTTAGTTGGACAATGTGATATTATTTGTTTGTTTGATATCTATTTGCATGAGCATATATCTTTTTGCCCATCTCTTTTTGATAATGTCAAAAGGGGGAAGATTGTGTAGATATGCATATATTCAGGGGGAATTGTACTTGTGCATATCTTAATGGGGAAGATAGTATGGATTTGTATAACTTTGTTTGATTTATAATACAATACTTGAGGGGGAACTAGCCTTGTATGATGCATATCTCCTAATGGGTTTGTCATTATCAAAAAGGGGGAAATTGTTGGACAATGTGCTATCATGAATATATATTTTTGCAATGTCCTTTGCCCATTGTCTTTTAGGTTTTGATAATGACAAAAGGGTGACAAAACATCATCATCATTTTGTGCATCAAGGCTAAGAATCAAAGCTACAACAAGTTCATATCCGTCCGTGAAGAAGGGACTTGAGCATCGGTGGAAGGAACGAGACCGAAGAGGTTGTTTCCTTAGTTGG